CATGTCGCTATTATTTTTAAAATAAATGCATTGATACATATACTATATAGATTCCGAGGATCATACATGGTTTATACGTACGACGCAACTGTGATTTCTTGTGACTAATATTGAGGTCATGAATAATATACTATAAGCAACGTGAGGAACAAACACGCAATTTGAAGAAAGAGAACGAAGGTGAACGAACATATAATAAAAACCTAATTAATGGCACGAATCCTTATCACGATAGTGTAAGTGTAAGGACGTATACAATGCGTCAGGCTGTCAGAAATAATGATAATGAGAAATGCAAAATAGGTCGACACGCCATTTCGTTCAATACAGAAAACGCTAATAGAAAAGATAATTTGACACTTCTTACTATTGTAAAAATACTTAATAATTTCTATCGTGATAATATATTTGAAGTTTTTTAAAATTATTTATTAAATAAAATCTGATATATATATATTAATTTCCTCCTTTTTTCTCTGAGATAAAAATAAAAATATCATTTATAAAATCAATCATTTTTTAAAATAATCAAATTACTTTTTAAGAGGATAATTATCTTAGATAACAAAATTAATTTAAGAAAGATAAAGACAGAAAATTACAATAAAATTTAATTTTAATTTTTTATAACGTTTTTCTTAATATTTAGCTTTTATAAAATATCTAATAATTATCTTCATTTATTTTCTTTTCCTATTTTGAGGTTTTTTTAAGAATAATATGCGAAGTACCGATAAATATATATGAATAGTTGTTGTAAGTAGCTCTTTATCTTCATAATTATAACAATTTATTCACATTACACAATTCAATTATACAAATTTTATTTTTCTTTAGATAATTTCAAATAAATATAAATAAAATAGTTTTATTTAATTATTTTTTAGTTACTATAAGAAAGACATTAACAATTTAAGAGATGACTGTAAAAATAAAGGTTTCTATCGAATCTTTGATTACCTACAGGACATTTTGAGATTTTGGCTAAAAATTCGCAGATTAAAATAAATTTATGTAATCTGACAATGAAATACCTTTGGTTCGTTGATTATATTATATGATATGAGTCAAGACATTGATTTGAAAATGTTTTATTTTACATTTTATTTTTTAATATATGTACATCGTTAAAAGATTAGATTCAATGTTCTATGAATTTCATGTTTATATGTATCTTGCTTTAGTTTTATTGAATATCAAAATAATGTCCTCGATAAGTTATTGTTGTAAATTAACTCTTATATGATACTTTTATTTTCATAGTTTCCTATACGGGATAAAAATCGAGTTATAATAAAAAACAGCTACAAAACAAATTCAATTAATACCGCGTCGTTTTTATATTGTTACATATTAATAACAATTATTTTAATAATTAAAAATTATATTTAAAAATTATTTAATATTTTATTTTATATTTAATATAAATAGCCTTTATATTTAATATGTTTATTACTTTTTTTAATAAAGCGTTCTTGCAATTATAAGGAATATAACATTTCTTTCTTGAGAACTATACAAAATTGACATATTCTTGTATTTAATTTTTTAAATGTACAATATATAATAATTCTAATATTCTTAAATCCCTTTCTTACTCTTTCGTTTTAACTAATCAAATTGCAATGTAGGTTACGCATTTAAGAACACTATAATTTTGTAAGAAGCTAATCGAGGTCAATCGGTATGAAAAGATGAAAACCCGATCGTGTAATGATAGAATCGTGCATAACCTTCAGCTCTTTTGGCAAATTAAAGAGTGATTTTATATACATATAGCTAACGATCGAAGTAACTAACATCAGGGGTAGGGCGTATTATGGGCATACGATGAATTAAATTGGTCACACCTTCGAACTAGCGGAAGAAAGTGAACTATAATGTCGAATGACGTAAGTCGCAAGTCGAAATAAACTCATTTAAGTTTTATTGTACTAATAAATCTAACAAATATGTAATTAGGTGCGGTAATAATCGAGTTTTAATTATAAATTCTTTTTTAACAATAAAAGAAAAGAATTAGATGAACAATATATAAGGTTTTTAAGTAGGTATAGGATCAAAATTGATTTAGCCGCTTTTTAGAGAAAAAGATTAAAAAATTCGTTATGGACATTGGGGGGCATTAGATTGAAGAGGGAGAAAGAAAAGAGAGAGAGAGAATAACGATCCCCGCTTCCTCAGCCAAGCAAACACAATCCTGCGTTGCGTGCGGCCTGCTTTAAGGAGTTGATCTGGGCCAGATACACACGTCGTCGGTAATATTATACGCAGCATTCTTATAAATCACCGTCATGTCGCGCCCCTTTAAGGGTCATATAAAAAAAATCTATTTCAGCACATTTAGTAGCACGCTACATTCGTTAACCGCAATATTAGCATTTGTACTTTTTATTATTTTTAATCCTTCATTATTTCTAATTATTAAATTAATTTTGCTTATTGAATAAAATATTAATTAGAAATAACATTATTAATTTATAATATTAATTATAAATAACTTATTTTTTAATACAATATTAACAATGGTAACAATATCTGAAATCTCGATATAGGTATACAATTTAAAGCGTGCAATGTTGCTGTAAATATATATATATATATATAAGTCTATATATATATATTATATATAGCTATATATATCATGTTAACGGATAAATTACAGAAGGATTTAAGGAGAGAGACGAGAATTAAATGTAAAAAAATATATTTTAAAATAAGGCTTTACTTTAACATTTATTTTATTGCCAAATAACATGAAATAAATAATAAAATAAATAATAAAAAAAATAAATTTAATTAACAATAGATACGTTACAATCGTAATTACATGATATGAGATATGTGTAAAGGACATATAATTACAATGTACAGGAATTAGTTAAAAAGGTAAATCCACAAAATTGCAAAATTGCAAATAGCAGAAAAATTCTATACTACATATATGGTTCAACTTTTATATACTTTGTTATTACAATTTTATGAAATTTATATTTAAGAGTTTAAAATTACACAAGAAAGGGAATAAACTTTTTAAGTATTTTACTTTATAACTATGGCGTATGTGTATGATCTGCTCAAAGTTTTATTTTACCTTCTTTTTTTTTTTTTTTTTTAATTTTATTTGTACTTAAAATTATAAATGTATTTTTAGGACTTGTAAAATGTCGTGTCGATTATGGTTGATGTAATAATCATAATTAAATATAAAAAAAAGTTTATTGTGCAAAGTTATGAATTAGATCACTGGAAATCTGTCTTTAAATTTTATTTATTTAAATTAAAGTTTTTTTCAGATCACTGAATATGATGTCAAACATTGATTAATTTAAAATAGCAAAATTAATATAGTAAATAAAAAAATAAAAAATACAACATAAAAAATTAAACTTAAAGAGGTTCCTTTGAATAATCAAACACAAGAAGTAATAAATGATAAAGAGCCAGCCATAAATGAAGCGCAAAATTATTATTATTAATCAAATAAAAGATTATTTATTATTTTAGCTATTTAGCTATTTTAAATTCGTCAATTTTAATCAAATATGTGTATATTTGTATCAGATTTGTGTATATGTAACGAGAAACTCTTAAGTTAGAATAAATATAATTGAAAAACATTATATATTAATTATATATATTCGCAATCGCCTAATTTGCAACTTTACGCAAGAAAGATTTACTCCTGAGTATCTTATCGATTGTAATTGATGTGACAAATTTTTTTTAAGAGGTGAAAGTGCTAACAATATATTTTTAATTTTGATAGTGATATGAAAATTTTCATTAACACGTTATACGTACATTGTAGCTATAATAATACATTAAAATAACTTTTTTTAATCGCAAATTTCTCAAAATTTTTATATGATAAAGTAAGTTAAAGGTCACAATTTTATATTTAACAAATTATATTCAGAAAATTACATAGTTATCTATTTATTTGTATTAAAAAAAAAAATTATTTTTTGTTAAATTGTGTTATTGGTGTAGTTAGTTGTCTATAACACGATAAAAAATAAAAAAAATTCAATATATATTATTTCATCTCTCCCCCCTCTCCCTTTTTCTTCACCTTTTTCATTTTTAAGTCAAACTATATACGTACTACGCAAAAGAAATATAATATATCCCAGACAACACCATGTCTAAAATTGGCGTATAAGACAGCTTTAAGATGTTTTTAAGATATGTTTTGGACATCTTATAAGATTTCTTAAAGATGTCTTAAAGACTTCTTAAAGATGCCTTACGTGCTAATTTTGGACATGCTGTCTGGAATGTTTCTGAAAAAATATATCTTTCTATATGATATCTACTTATATTTTAACATCTCTTTTAATTAATATATAGTATTGTCTATATAACATTATTATTATTATCAATACTTCTATTGGTATATTGAATAATGTATATATATATATATATATATATATATATATATATATATTATTATTATTAATATTATTTAGAAAATCAAATAATATATTTTTAAAAGTTAGATTATTCAACAAATGTTTGTATTTTAATGGAAATGCTGTTGCGCACTATGAATAAAAGGAAAGAAAACATAAGAATATTCGCATTTTATAGTGCGATGAGAAGTCGATCGTCCCTTGAAGTAGACGTGTTTACAACGTCAGTCAAGTTCACGAGTATAGGGGTCGATCAGCTCATGTTTAATTCGGGTGTGATTAATATTCTCACTATCTATTATATATACACGTGTTTATATATATTTTTATCTCAAGAAAATATCCATGTGTGTGTAATGACTAGCCATTCTATATGTAATCATTTGTGATTAAAACCATTATATATTATATTATCTATTTAATGTTTTATTTTGAGATAAACATATAAATTTAAATGAATTATTCTAAATTTAATTTCAATTTCTATATAAATATCTTTAAATCTTTGATTTCTTTTTCTCTTTGATTTTTGTTACCTTCAATAATTTTCTATTATTATCGATAAAAGTCTATTTTTATTATTACCTTGAATGTTTTGTAGCTGGACACTACGTAGGAGGCACCGTCTTCGAGCTCATCGAGACTGATCTTCCGATCACCGTCCATCGAAAAGATATGACGTGCACCTCTCGGTAGATCCATCCGAAGGGACAGTCTGTCCTGTAAGGCCTCCAAAGAACCAATGTCACGTCCAGGTTTGAATCTAAATATTCAAAATTTTTCTGAATTAAATACAAAATAATAATCTCAAAGCTATTAGAGTATTTTTTTTTATTTTAATTCATTAATTTTTATCATTCTTTACTCTTTTGAACTATTCTCAAAACAGTATAAGAGATATGCTATTAATTCATTTGGTACATATTATAGGTACATATATTATGCTTTTTATTTCAACATTTTTATAAAATTTCGGCATTTTTAAAAAGGCAAATTTTAAAAAGGTCAAATTTATAAAAAAAACTTACAATACACACATACACATGCAATATATGTTAATGCATTTTTAACTACAATGCATTTGCTCTTTTTTGGTTCTTCGTTTAAATAAATAATTCTTCATAGAAAAATTTTGGTAATTCTATTATTTACGTAATCTAATTTAAATCTAATTAAATCTAATATATTGTGTTATTTTTATAATAAAACAAAATAATTTTATTCTAAAAAAAATTGCTTTATAGCAATAAAGTGTTTTTTTTATTTTAATATAAATAAAGAAGATATATTTTGATTTATATAGTAGATTTATTTCTTTCTATTATTTCGTATTTAATCACTCTACCATGAAGTATTGTACATATACATGCAATAAATATTTCAATATACTCGTGGCTATAGAAAAGTGTTGTGAAAACGTAACTAAAAAATAAGAAATCTCGAAAATGATGCATTTCCACAAATTTCTTGCCAACAAAAAAAAATACACGCGAATGCACGCATACATACATGTATATGTATATATGTATACATAATATGTGTGTATGTATAAATTGATCTCTAATATTTATAGTATAATTAATAACTATAATTTTACTTCAATCTATAAAAGGTTCGACACTTAAAAGATTACGTAAATAATTGAATATATTATTTTATATATTATGTTTTTCGAAAATAAAATTTATAGAAATATATAGAGAAGAAAATAAAAATAAATTAAATGCATATCTTGATATCTTGTTATGTTTTTTCTCGTTACAGGTGTTAGATTAAAAAGAGAAAAGATGTTACATGTTTCAAACTTAATTATCGTGTATATATATATATATATATATATATATATATATATATATAAATAATTAATAATTAATGAACAGGTTGACACAATATAATTTTCAATATGTATCCTCAAGCTCGACAATCCTTTTCAAACTGCGCGATAATTGAGTTAGTGGAGAGAGTGAGTGGAGTTGATTAAAATGGATGATATGCTTACCGGAACTCGATGCCAGGAAAATAGGGATCGCCATTTTTGTAAAAGGTGACTCTTCTCGCACGCCAGTAGCCGAGGTTGTTGTATCTCGCGGCTTGTAACTCGTGCCGGCTCTTGGGTCGGCTCGACTGTTCCGACTGCTCCGGAGGCGGCATGCGGGGACTGGAGGGTCTGCTCTGCCTCCAGAAGCCGGCCATGCCGCCTCCACCCCCACCCTCACCATCAACCGACACACCCCCGATCTCTTCTTGCATCGTCATTCCACCCTCCACTGCGATTCCACCCTCCACTGCGATTCCACCCTCTTCATCCCCTTCTTCGTCCTCTTCTATTACGACCTCTTCTTCCTCCACTTCCTCGTCCTCTTCCTCGTCCTCCTCGTCATCCTCCACCGGCATTGCTGACGTTATTGTGGGCGTCGCGATGTTCGCGGCGCCGCCGCTCTTCGGTGAGTTTTCGCGAGTCCGCGGTTTGTCTTGATCTTCTTTTCTCATCGAACCTAAATCAAATAGTTGAAGATCTTTAACTCAAATAATCTAAGTTTTCTTCTTTTGTCCGTGATTATTATACATGTAATCGCTTCGCTGTTATATATATATATACTATAGTAATCTTTGTGTTTTATCGGTTCTTATTATAAAATAAAAGTCACTATTTAAATGGATATAGTTGTTTTTAAGAAAATTGTGTTGATCTTTAAATGACTTTGAAAAACGCCATTTGGAAGAGGAAATAACATTAATTTGAGCGAGCAGATTTTATTTAAATTGAGATAAATTTTGTCTACAAACTTAATAATTGTCAAACTACCAATTCCGTCCCTTCCTTTTCCGCGTACGTCTATTATACAATTAGTATATACGCATAGTTTTATAAGAGCGATCTCATTAGATGCTTTCTCACCTACGTCCCTCGAATTTGTCACGGTGACTGTATCACCAATCTCGTTGTTATCACCGTTATCGGCACCCTCGTTACCACCTTTATTCTGCCCCAGATTATCAGCATGCAAACCCGATTGATTTTCAATCTCGATCATCCGCAAGGTGAGGCCGCCGCCACTTGTATGCGTTCTTACTTGGCCCGAGTTATTACGACTTTGTAGAAAAATTTGCAGATTCGCGTGTTGGATAGAAGGGAGTTGGTTTATTGAATTGATGAATTCTGCGAACCTGTCGTAATTTCGCAATGCGATAAATAATGTACTGTAATGCTGAAAATGAAAAACTAAAAGTCGTGCAATGAAGAATTAAAATTCAACGAATATAATGAATTAAAAAAATCGAAAATGAACAGATTATCAACACAATGTAAATTATTATAAAATAAAATAACTTTTGCTTTTGAGACTCTAATTGCTCGAAAAATAATACATGTATGTAAATATGTAGGTGTGGAGCGCACGTGTCTTTAAACATTTCAAGATTCTTTACACGGGGGGAACACAAATCGTGAGAATACTATTTAAATAATCAGTCAATTAATGTGTTGCGTGATGAGAGAAATTCCCGATCGATCACTCGTTTTTATTTCGTAACTGCAGCTCTCACTGCAGGTTCATCGATCAGCAGTTCGACCTATGTATACATATATGTATATGCATATTTTGTCCGCTCTCATAATAATTCCACTCCTTTACGAGTGAATGATGTACGATTGAATACATAATAATATTTCATTCTGAAATTAAACTTTTCTTTATTATTTACATAGCGTACATATTATAGCATCGACGAAAACATGAAGAGACCATAACTGTAGACTACATTTTTGTAATTCTGAATGTGAATTTTAAAAATTATTACCAATCGTTAAGTTATATTTGCTCTCGATAGTTTTGGTTTTATGAAATACTTTATAAAATAAATCTCTTTCTCGGCCATCAAATATTGGACAACACGACAAAACAACATATTTTCCTAAAAGTAGATTTTTAATTAGTGACAGTTTTTCATTAAACGCATATATTAGAATCTTATTGATTGCAAAAGATTAAATTACGTCTAGAAGTCTCAAAGTGCCAAAGTCGCTGACTTTAATTAATTCAATTCTTTATGTTGCAATAAATTTTTTATGAAAAAGTAGAAAATATACCTATTAGAAAATTTATACAATAACATTCCATTTTATGAATTTAAATCGTATTATATATACATATATCTTTTGAATCATCGAATTCTGCAAAAGTTTCGTGACTAACTATCTCTCATTAGTTCCTGTATGCACAAGACACATCGTGCGTGACCACACCTCTCTTAAATGCAAAATAGTGTCGACTGTTTTTCGCCTTGATTTATGCGCTCGTTTTTCATCTCATTTCCTCTGTTATTTAGCAACTTTCTGTCATTTCAACTAAGAAAACTAATAAATCTAAATGGCAGACAACAAGTTCGCACAAAACTGTGGCGTATAGAGTATAATATATTCTCATTTCAAATCATTTCAAATTATATGCAACTGAAGAAAGATTTTAATTTATACAGGGAAAAAGAAGGATTTATATTTCATTTTACTAAAAAGTATTAGTGAATAATAAATTTTTACATTTAGTTATAACATATAGTTAACATATTTAAAATCTTTTGCAACTATAAACTAATTTATTGTTAAAAATATGAAAATATTTATCATGTGATTAATTTATTTCTTTTATTTCAATTTACTTTTATAATTAAACCCCCCTATAATAAATATGTTTACTATTTTATAATCCTCTGTCATATATATAATTTACACACTAACACACACACACAATCTCAATTTTTTTTAAATATGAATTTAAGATAAGAATTTACATTAATTTTTAAATTTATTGAACGTTACATTTTTTAATCTGGTCTTTCTGTGTACCAATTAATTTAAACGCATTAATCATATGAAATCTTAAATGATTTTTCCTCCTCATTTTATTTCTTTCTAAGAAATCATTTATACAATTAATGATTAATGTTCTATGCAAAAATTGTATTACGAGCAAAAAATAATCTAATAGAGTAATAATAAATAATTGTTAATATTTTAAAAACATGAATATAGATATATTTCTATTTAAAGCAATTATTAATATAAATTTTACATTGCAAAGCTATCAATTATTTATATTTTGGATTATATATATATACGTGTGTGCGCGCGTGTGTGTGTTTCATAGATAATTTCAATCTGTTGTATATTATATAAAAGTATGGAATATATATATGTATATATATAACAATTTTATAAAATTACAATTGTATTTTTGCAGTTAAGTGAACTATCTCACATTTGATATATATGAAAAAATATAAGAATATATTTTAATCAAAAATATTTCTAATGCATTTCAATATAAAAACTTTTAAAAATCGATTATAAAGTAATTATTAATATAATTTTTTTCTGCAGTGTGTTGTTTTATTGTGTTTTTCTGATATTTGCATACATGCATTCTCGAGTTCACTTTCAAAGATTTTTAAATTTCAACATCGCAATATTTAAACGTTTATATGATCTGATGATATTCCTTTTATATTGAATAATTATCAATTATTTTTCTTCTTAAAATCACTTTTTTTTTTTTTTTTACAAACGAACTTATTCATTAATATTATTCAAAATATGTTCAGATCATGAATAATTAAATTTCAGTATAACAAAAAGGTCTAGTCTACCTTGTTATTTGAGCTGTATTAAATGTTAAAGCTAAGATGTTTGAATACTAGTTAAAACTTACGATCTAGCATCCGCTTAATCTTCAAAAAGCAGAGCAAATATCATCACATAGAAAAACAAATGAAAATTATTTATTAACATGGAGTAAAAATTTATCTTTCCATGACAAATAAATTGTTTATTATCTGATTTTATTTATAAATATAGACAGAATAAGAAAGGATTCACGCAGAGCATATTTGTCTTTTTCACATTTGAGCGAATTTTTTCTTAGCTTTTTCTCCAAAACAATGTTTAAATAATCTTAAACTTCTTATCTTTTAACAATGATAAAAAATATTTTTAAATGATATCAAAATCATGATTTAAATTGATAAATTTTTATTAAGAAAATTGCATTCCACATAGCATTATAAGAAAAAAATTGTAAAGTATCTTTAAGATGGAAGAAATGTATATCGCAAAGTCAATAATAATTATTTTGAGTAATAAAAGTTACTTTGGAATTATATAAGAATATTGTAACAGCTAACAAATGTTATTTAGATTTTAATTTTTGCGAAAAAATAATTCTGAAGAATTAGATAAAAAATAACTAAAAATAAATAATAATAAATATATGCATATATTATGAAAAAATGTGTTCGTTTAATAAATACTATAAATTTCTCGCACTCACTTGAATTTGGTTAATCGACACCGTGAAAATAAAGTATCCACCCAATAAGGAGCTTAAAGTTCATTAAAGTTCACTGACACTATGCTGCAATCATTGATGATCGCGATCGATATTAATTTCACGACATATCTTGCGATGGTCATATTACGTGCGAGCAAATCGCGGTCGAATTGCCTTAGCGTTTGAAATTCAATCGACTACGATCGCGACAGTATACATATTCATGCGTCCTTCGACGATGGCGTCCCGACGTCGAGTGGCCGCGCAACCTCGGGGCTCGGCGCCGCCGGCAGCCGTCGATGTCCTCTCTCACCGTCTCCATCGTCGCTCTTCGTCGCGGCGTCGATGCCCGTGTCAGTGAACGCGGAACTTGTTGCACCGGACTTCAAATTTTAGAAAGACATACTAAATGCAAGCTCTAAATATTAAATACATACAGTATCATATATGCCACTCTGCTATTGAATTCGACATTTTACAATTACATACATATCTAATTATCTAAAAACTATTTCAACATGATAGTGAATTTAAAAAATCTAAATTTTTATACGCTTACGTATATGCGTATAGGTATGGAAGATATAAATCATATATATATATATATATATATATATATATATATATATATATATAATTGCATTTATTTTTATTAAATTTATATTATATATATTAAATATAAATTATATTTAATAATAATAATTTATAATGCTGATTATAACTAGAAAATTGAACTCTCTTGGACCTTTATATAATATAATATAGAATTTGTGGATTTTATATCATCCATTATTCTGGATCAATTCATTCTCATTGTCAGTAAAATTTGCTCTTATTATATATTGCTCTTGCATTAAGCATTCATGTAATCATGCATAAAATGAGAAAACAAGTGAGATATAAAAATAACATTCTATTTCTTTATATACATATGTGGTCGTAAAAATAGATTGGATATTACGAGAATTGAAATTTTGGAATAGCGGAATTTAATCTCAACATTTCTGAATAAAGAAGTTTAGTTGTTATAGTTGCCGTCATATTTTAAATAATTAAATCTAGAGAATCTCTAATTTTTTTTTATACAAGAGTTTAACAATTTTAATATGATAGTTTTAATTTTTTGCTTTTCTCTTTTCGTCACTGCAAAAAAATTTCATATCTACATATTATGTTATACCTATGGTATAGATTATTTTAAGTCATCTAATATAATAAACAATCTTTCTCGACACTTCATGTTATATTGTAACTTGCACAATGATATATTTTATCAATTTAAATAATTACTTTTTTATAGCGGACCAATAAATTTGGAATCATATACATAATTATCACATATATATTATATATCTCATTCTATGTTTATATCAAAAGTTATATTTTATCCAAAAAACTACTCCACCGCAATTATATATGTATATACCTCGATGTAATCGATGTGCTTATCAGTTGACTTTAAGGAGGTCAACAAGCTTCCGTGTCGCCATGTCGCAGATTGCCGATAAAGTGAGTACTTATATTACAAGCAACTATAACATAATAAGTATAGAATATAGTATATGCATTATACATATATATATATATATATATATATATATGTATATATATATGTGTGGGAAAACCTTCTTACTCCAGTATATTATTATTGAGCTTACTGATATTGTAACATTATACTTGTAGGTGTAATCTGTTTTTATCACAAAATCCAAATATTTTTAAATCGCGTCAATGGAATTATCCGAAGCTCATCGAAATTGTTCAAGCAATTTATCACATATTTTTTATTTAAAAAACTCCGTCTATTAAGTCTACCCAAGATTTTTTTTCAATATATTGTATATTCTTTATTGTTTTAAATTATGATAATAAATAAATGCATAATCTAATTTATATGCATTATTTAGCACAAAAACCTTATTATAGTTTCAAGTTTTAATTTATTAATTCACGAATCTATAATAAAGAATTTTGAAAATGTATAAATCTATTTTATCACATACACACGCGAGTTATAAAATGTGCAAAAAATTAATCTATTTTAATATAAGAGAAAAAATATGACACTATAGTTGTACATAATGTAATGAAAAAAAAGGAATCTTAACAAATAGTTTCATGATAAATGCTTAGATTTTCTCTGAAAGACTGCAACTCTCAGAATTATTGATCGCGACGCGCGTCAATATTGGAGCACACAAGTGCATTAGCCTACAACTTTCTGCTTGTAAAATATAATCTGTATATATTCTTCTTACTTATTTACAATATGTACATATTTGCTCTTTTATTTATTGCGTTACAATAAAAGTACAGTGGAAATTAATCTTGAAAAATTATCTAAAAATTCCCTTTTTTTAAATATCAATATATTATAACGAATATGTACATTTTAACAATATCTTGTTGTAGATATCTTCAGAAAATATCTCGATAAGAAATATATGAAAAAAATTGTAAAGCAAAATATAAAAATATATAAAGAAAATTTTTTGTTCACAAATTTAGGGAGCCTATTACATCAATATGTTTTTGACTAAATAATTCATGATTCTTTTAAAACTAGATATTAATGATATCAATATTTTACACATATTGATAACAAGAAGTTTCGAAAGAATAAAAAAAATCTTTTATGTTTTACATTCTTTATTAATTCTATTTTATTTTCTCTTCAACTTTTAAGATCTCCTTATCTTTCTTTCTTTTTTTTGGTGGCTCAATTTTGTTTTCTTCATTTAGCTCCTTTTCTTCACAATCATAATTAACTTTCATTTCCATATCTTTTTCTGCAAGTAAATTTTCATACTTTGATCTTTTCTTCTTTCTTGATGTTTTTTGCTTCAAGTCTTTTGATATCTTCTTTTGAATGTCTTCTGGATTATTCAATGTTATTTCTTCATGATTAAAATTTGATAAAGAACAATCATCGATTGTTCTTACGTTTTTTCTATTTCTTTTTACCTCTATTTTGTTTTCTACTTGTGATACTACAAATTCAACGTCTCTCGATATCTTTACTTGTCCATCATTTGTTGAGATTTCTTCTTTCTTCTTCTTTGTCTTTTCGCGCTGTTTTTGCTTGTATTCAATTTTCTTCATATCATTTTTTTTTATATCCAAATTAGCTATAGTAAGATTTACATTGCCTCCTTTGCGGTTGGATTCTGGCAAAGCCACATTAAAATTTCTCTCGAATACCGCCACAAAAAAACCGTTGCAGAAATCAATATCTGGTTTTGAATACAAACATTTATCCCCGCAATTATATGTTTTGGAACTAAAATTTATCCAATTATTTTTCAGCAACTGTTTAACTGGTACCAGGGAATAAGCATTGCCAATATCAGCAAGAACTTCGTCTATCACTTCTTCATTTTCTTCGGGATAAAGAGAACAGGTACTATAGACTATTCTTCTTACATTCGGAAAATTAAAAAGCGCATATCTAAGAAGATAAACTTGAAATGATTGTAAATTTTGCAGGCGTTTTGACAGAGACTTGTCATTTATATTGCTTTGTTCTGGTCTGTCCACAATACCTATGATAAAAATCATTCTATGTATAATAAATGAAAATTGCCATTTATTTAAGGCATTATATTTTATAAAATTAAACAAAATATATCACGTAAAAGATTATAATATCTGTAATAGATATTTTTTATTAATTTTACAATTAATTCTATTAATTAAAAATAATCAATATATCTGCTTCAAATTCTTTAATGCATTATATTTTATTGTTAATTTAAAAAATAGAAAGTGGAGTTTTTACCTGATCCAGAACAACTTGGATCGACCAAGATATATTTCACATGTGAGTACCGTCTTGGATCGAGAGTTAAAACATCTTGATTAAGAACTTTCACACAGGAAGAATGAGTTGTCTGTATTTGTTTGGATAAGGTTTCAAATCTTTTAGCATCGATTTCCACAGCATAAACCTCCCTAAAAAGAATTTAAAATTTAACCATTTTTATATACGAAAAAATAAGTTTGTGCATGCGCGTGTCGCTATGTATTTATTTGTAAACTTCAAAAATATAGTCATTTAAAATCGGATGAATCATTTTGAATAAGCCTGCGTATATTAAACATTTTTAATATTATTTTATCATTTTTTTCAATACCTTTCTTCATGATTAAAATTTGATAAAGAATAATCATCGATTTTTCTTACGTTTTTTCTATTTCTTTTTAACTCTATTTTGTTTTATACTTGTGATACTACAAATTCAACGTCTCTCGATATCTTTACTTGTCCATCATTTCGTTATTTTATATTTTAAAAATTTTTTAAATTATTTTTGATATTGAATAATTGTTTTTTAGTAATTAAGCCTAAAATTAAAATTATGTGAATAAGTCTATTTAAAATACACGTGTAAAATAACATTACATACCCATAATTTTGCAATTTTGCTGCTATATGAGTAGTTTTCATGCCAGGTGCCGCGCACATATCCAGCACTACGGAACCAGTAACAGGATTTAACAAATGCGCCGATAAGCAGCTAGCCTAAATATCATATAAAATCCAAAATTAAAGAATTAATAAATATATAAATAAAAGTATTAATAATAATTAATATAAATTTTATATACACACATAAATTTTATATACGCTAAACTAATTTCAAAAATAACAAAATCTTTTCGATATATAAATTTAAAAATAATTAATTTTTTAAATAGTTAATATTTGGTAGTGTTAGAGAATTAAAATGAGAATTAAATTGAGTACTTTTATCAATGAACATTTCAAAACATTATCCATACCTTATCTTGGAGAATGAGTTTGCCATTTTGATAGCCGGCATGTTCATGAAAGGATGTTGAGGACGGAAAAGCAAGCACTTCCGATATATGTATGTCTTGTATAAAATGAGGTTCCGATAATTGTGATAAGGATTGCAGATATGAAGAATATGTTGTGCTCCTGGATAGTAACTGCCATCCCTCTTTTTCAAAAAAGAGATGGCTTCCTCTATTGATAGTAAAAGAGTGTTGACACGGACATATCGAGGCTTTTGCACTAGATAAAAAATTATGTTAAATTTTATTTATATTTCTGGAAATGTTTTAAAATATTAAAATAATATAAATATTAAATAGCAATTTAAATCTATATTTAGAAAGAGAGTACTACTCACTAAATCTGATAAAAAAAAATAATTCGCAATTTATCATAAAACAAGTTATATAAATATATGTGGTTAAAAAGCGTGGCTGAAAATATATAAAATAACAAATAATATTTATATACAATTACATTTAAATTTTTAGAATATATTTGTATCTAAAGTTAAAACTTATATAATATTAAATTATACAATTTAACTTTGAAATTATACGCCCAAAATAAAAATTTTAATATTTTTACATCAGATTTCTATAGTTCGATTTAGCCACACTTCTTATTTAAAATAAAATAAATATATATTTTTATATAAAATAAAAATATACATATATATAATTTGTTCCTACATTCGCACTGTTTGAAATGTAATACCTAAATCTAAACTATCAGTTTTATGGAATATTCAATCATAACAATCTATACACAATATTACAATCTTTATGTTATTTATATGTATATTGATATTTTACGTTAAAATACGGCAAGGTTTTTCTCTTTTATCCGATATTCTATCTCCAATTTCGTCATAGATCAAATGAAACAAATATATACTCAACATTTGTTGCGAAAAATAAATAAACTAATTAAGTGGAAGAAATGGATAATCTTTTTTTTGTTGTAAATCTAATGTCTTTAAAGTTGTACTTTTTCATAAAAATTAACACAAATGTATATTCTCCTTGTGTGTAAAGAGAAAAAAGAAAAATGTAATAATAAAAATAAATTTTATTAATTTTTTATATTACATTATTACTTATTAAGTTGTTAATTATTGTGATTATAGTATACTCCATTTATTTAAATTTATATATATTTTCATTCTATCTACATATCATTTATCTATTTATATTTATACTTTAATATTCCTTATCAATTTATAAAAAAATGTGTAGAATATATTCGGATAATTCCAATATATTAATTATGTAAAATCAATTTTAAATATTAAGAAGAATTTCAATTAACTTTTTTTGCTCTTTAGATTTGTGTTCATACAAACATCTTTTTCTAAATGCTAATATTGTACAATGGAATTATTGATTAATCACTATATATATTTATTTTCATGTTAATCATATGCAGGTAAAAAATTTATTCATGTTAATCATATGCAACTAAAAAAAGTATTGTTCTAATGAGGCATAATAATAATCTAAATAAAAAAATACATATATTATATACATTGTTTAAATTAGTATCCTATTCTATACATTTTTTTACATTTTTTTTGCATTTCAAAATCGAAAGAAGTAATAGTTAATATTCTGTTTCTGATTCATTCTGTGTATATTATTATATTTTATTTTGAAAGTATAAAATTTAATGTAGCACATTCTAAAGAATAATTGAAAGAAATCAATATTTATTTTTTATATAAACCAACCAGAACAACAACCATAAAATCACTTCTTTTTTATATAAAACTAATTAAATTTTTACAGTAACATATATATTTTATAATGTTGGCAAACGAGAATTATGAATTAATATTTATATATTTAATATAATGCCATTTTGTTATTTATAATATAGAATATCTTGCTGTCCTTTAATTATTAAATCTTTTCCCATATTTTTTTGATTAATAATAATATATCATAAATTAAGCACATACAAGTGTTTCTGCTTAACTAACAAGAAGTTTCTCTTTTTCATTGTAATATAAAAAATCTCTAATAATTCGAAATTCTCTTTGTTAAAGAGAATTTGTTACTCTTTTTCTTAATTAGCTTTCTTATTCAAACTTTCTTTAGATTCTACTCTAATTTCATCTTCACTCTGTTCTTTCTCTTCAATAGACTCGTGCAGAGCCTGATAAGCATAACAAGAAATAATTAAGTTCACCGTGATTACAGCAGCTAACACAGAAACACAATTAGTCACAAAAGTGTCGGTCTGAAATTCTAATGTCATGAAATGTTGTACCCCAAAGAAGGCAGCAAACGGTAAAGTAAACATGGCAACACTATATAGGAACAATGTTCCCAGAACTTCCACTAGACCCATCGCACAGTTATTCTTTTTTTCACAACTTGGCTCCTGACGACAGGATCTTTGACGATCCCGCAGGTTATTGATTCCAGCAGCTCCTTTATTCTGTCTACTGGACAGTATTCTGCAGTTGCGAATAATCAGGACCATGAAGAAAAAGATTTCTACTGCGCAATGATGACTCTCCAAAAATCAAATTTCTGTAAAAATGCAAGTACGTTGTGATTATTGGACAGCGAAGTGGCATAATTACCTTTTTCTTTATGAGAGCTGAGAGTTTCTATGTAGTTGAGATTTTTCAACTCTTCTTGTAACTTCTTCTCATAAGATAGCACAGTTAAAACTGGTTTAGAATGGCCCTTTAGGCATTTTTTGCCCCATAAAAGCTCTGTTATGAGGACTCTAGCTAGCCAGGGATCCAAACGCGGTTGTTCTATAAGAATGTGGGTGTTGTGGAAGAGTTGGTCTAAGTGAGGCAGCATTCGCAAAGTATTCATCGAGAGACCATATATGCCAGCTTTATTCTAAATCGCAAAAGCAGCAGAATAAGTCAGAATATGTGTGAGATTTGTTTCCTTTTTTTGTTAGATACAAGATATTTTCATATCAGTAGTACAATCGAAAAGGAGATAATTTCTAATGAAAATATATGTTCAACAGAATTATAGAATAAAATATTTATATACTTTTACATATTTTTATTTTTGAGAAAAATTATTCAAAATATATACTATATAAAAATAATATATAATATATTTGTTTTTTTTAAATTTTGAATAGTCCAAATGATTTTATTATATGCTATCAAATTTGTTTCAATAGTAAAAATAAAAAAATATAATATTTTATTTGTATATTTATAAGGTGATTTAAAATAATTAAAATTACTAAAATAATATAAAAATATTAAAAATAATAATTATCAATTGTAAAAATAATACTTTAGACTTTTCTATAAGATATATTTTTTTTAATAGTCAGTATCAAATTTGACAATTTTATAAGAAAATTATTAAATTGTAAGATAATTTAAGAAATACACACATATACATATATACATAATTATGCAAGACCTACATTTTCACAGAGCAAAATTATTCGCAACATAAAGCATATTTCTAAAAAAATTTGATATAAAAAATTGTTATTAGAAAAGATTAATAGATACAAAAACATTTTTTTAAATATAAGTAATTATTCTTTTTTATATTAAAAACATTTCAAACATTAAATTTTTTATAAGAAGATTTTTCACAATTTTTCTTTTATAAATCTTTTTATACATAACACATGAAAAAAAATTACATAATTACTATAAAAATTATAAAAATTATATAATTAATATAATAAATAAAATAATTATAAGATAACTGTAATTTTTGTTCAATTTCTATTTCTATGTGTTTTGTAAAATCGTTCGTTTTATACTTACAGGATGATTCTTTTCGTAAATGAGAGTTTTTAGGCTTGCTCCATCCTCTTGTACGCGACGTACAATGTTGGCCGTAAATTTGTAAATACGCGGGACCGTAACAGAATGTACGAATTTATTCGACATATTACAAATTTAAGACTGTTCAGGAATTATATTTCGTCGAAAATAATATACGATTTATAAAACTAATTCGTTACACCTTTATGAAGTTTATCGCACAAATTTTAGGTTATTGTTTACGGGAGCTTATAAAATACATAGGTCGGTATTCACAATTGGTTCTTATATGATCGTTTTAAGACCTCGTTCAACCAATCAAATGATCGCATAGCATCTCTTGATTGGTTGAACAAGGATCTTAAATATAAGAATGCGGACTATGAATATCGCCCATAGACGAGCATTAAGACCTTCGCGTGTGAAGGCCTTTAGTCATCGATATTCTCCTCATTTTTGACTGTGATTGGTCAATTTCTTCTGACCGGGTCTACAATAGGTGTAGAAAGCTCTAAGCCTTAAGAAATTCACTAATCACAGTTAAGAATGAGGGGATTAATCGACTGTGATTGATCAATTTCTTAAGCGGAGACTACAATGGCAGCAAGAGTACAGAGTACAAGAGTAAGCAGTACGAAATGGGATTCGCTCATTTCATTACTCCCGATAAAATGAGCGAATCCCATTTCGTACTGCTTACACTGCTTACTCTTGTACTGTACTTCTACTGCCGTAGACCCCGCTTAAGACTTAGATTACTTATTGTGGACTCGACCTTAAGCCGATAACCAATCAGAATAAAAGAAACCAATCTCAAGTTTAGTAAACTTTGCTCTAATTGGTGAAATTTCAATCTAATCCCAATCCTAATTTCCGTAGTGTGGTTACGGCTTTAGAGAAAGACTCAACTGACGCAAGTAGATGAAACAGGACGCAAGCGATGATTTTGTTCGCTACAATCTTGTTTGATTCCTTCCGAATAGATTCGATTCGACTATATGTATATTTGTGATAGATGAGTAAATGTTTCGAGTCGTGCAAAAAGTTGTTGGTATCTCTCACAGACTTCTATATAAAATCCTTCGATCATCTCGGGGAAAAATAAGCACCGTCTATGTATTTTATATATACATATCTATAGTCTCTGACTATATTATTCCAAAGGTAAGATCGCCATTTGTACGCGCCATCTGGCACTCGCAACGACAAAGTAACAAATATATTTGTGAATCCACAGTTTCGTTGGGTTTCCTTTCGTCGAAAACGTTCTTCTCTCGTGTTGAGTTGCGACGGAGCTCGCGAGCACGTCTCCGGCTTCGGCGTCTTCGGGGTGTTTTGAGGTTGATATTCGCGCGTTATGCTTCGAAGATTCATTTCTCACAAACCTAACCTTAATTCTTCATTTTACATTCGATAATCTATCATTCTACGAAATTCAGTAAATTCAACTTTTTGTCGTATAAGAAATGTCTGTTTAACCATAATATTCGATTCTTAAATTTAATTTGTTTTCGATAACATTTTATTTAATTCTAAAAAAAAGAAATTCTATGCGATGATTGCTTCAAGAAACCTTAGCGTTTTTAGAATTTGTAATTAAGACTTCCAATGAACCGCAAACCCCATTTAAGTCCTTGGATTCTTTCCTTGTACAGATTTATAATAATCCTAGCTACTATATAACATTGGTATTAAAGATAAAGTGCTTTCTGTACAAATTTCTCTAGCAATTTTGCTACAAATTGATTGCTTTGAGGTTTTAGTATATTCTAAATATCTAAATGAAAAGGTGATCATAATAGAAACTATCAGATAGAATGCATAGCAGTAACTCTGAATTTTTCAACATCTAAGGTATTTTATTCTGCTATAAAGATTTTTTGCAATGGTATAGAATAAAATGTAATGAAATTATAAAAAGAAATTCTGATTATATTTGTCATATAAATGTGTAAAAGTTTCGAACATATATGAACACAATTAACGTTCAGTGATTTTATTTTTCATATACTGATATATAAATATAAAAATAACAAAAATTTTTTTAAATGGAACATTTAACTACTCAATCCTTGGAAATTAAGATTTTAAATAGATTTAATATCTGAATATTTCTTATTTCTATTTTATTTTATATTTATTTTTCTTAAATCTTAATTGTTATTGCAACTATTATTGTTATATATTATTGTAAATGTCAAAAAAGGAGAGAATAAAGATGTTATATATTTTACAGTAAAAAACATACAGAAGATATTGGATTAAAATTTACCACATGCTGAAGACCAAGTGTAAATAATTTTGAAGAAAATGCCAAACTCTGAAATCAATAAACGTGATCATAATTATAGTGAATCGGAACCACCTCAGAATGTCAACATATCTGACAGCATTAGCAGCAAGGAATCCAAAATGGCACCTGTTGTTGGCCAGATTAAAGATATTGATGAATTGAAGAAGATTGCACCTCGCGTTCGACTACAAGATGCCAAAAGTTTGAATGAATTGACGAGGATCTCGTCTTTAAGTAACAGCAGCACTAAATTGCAGCAGAGCAAGTTGTCCATTTCTGAGAGAACTCAGCAAGAATTAAAAAAGTATTGCCGTACTTGTGCTGGTCTAAAATTACCTTTGGTATGTTTTTTTTTAAACATAATAGGATTATAGTTTTATAAAATAATTCAAAATGAAAGAAAACATTGAAATAAATGTGAAATACATAAAGAAAAATGTATATATTATAGTAACTAAGATAAATACATAAACAATAATTTCAAAAAAGATTAATAACAAATTTTATTATTGTGCTACATTACACACTAAAATCTCCTATGAAAGTATTTGAATGTAAAATCATATAAGTAAAATCAATATAAGTTGCTTTCCATTTACATCAAAACTTGGATAAATCTCACTTGTGTCTTTCTTTAACATCCATGTTGAAGAAAGATAGAAGTGAGATTTATCTGAGTTTTAATGTAAATGGAAAGCAACTATTAACATGTTTGAATAATTAAATATCTAATATTATATAATTAGGTATTATTTAGCACAGTATATATTAATTATTTTAACGTTAAATATTTACATTATACATGTAAATAACTTCATGTATATAGCAACTTTTAGTATGCATGTATGTATTAGCATAATTCTATTATTATAATGACTACATTGAGGTGAACGTATTTATTATTGACCGTTACTATTAATTATTACGGCAACTGTTCCTATTATTAATGCATGTTATAGGTGGACATCTTTAGCGAGAAGGGTATCAAATTACGATTGAGTCAACAAATCAAGCACCTGGAAGTGAATCCTTATGATAGCCTTTCTACGCAGATGTGCATGGACTGCATCTGTGATCTTAAAATAAGTTACAAATTCTTCATGCAGATCAAAAAGGCCGAGATGAAACTTAAATCCATTCACGTCAACTTGACAACCGATAACGTCGCAAAGAAAGCCGAACCGATTAATGAGTCTTTGATAACAGATGAGGAAAATCAATCATTTTGCCTAGGTAATAAATATTTTCATATTTTTTTAACTTATAATTAATATTTATATATTATATATAATACTTTTTATAACTTTTTATAACTTTTTTAATTATTTATAATAAAAGTAATAATAGAGAGTGAGAAGGGAAAGGATAGAATTTTTGCATATACAGAGTGTTACATATATTAATTTTGCATATATATGATATCCATTTTATGATAATAATAATTATATCTCATAAACTTGACATTTTACAAGTTTTTTTTCTCTTTTTCTTTGAATAATTGGAGGGTTTGAAGGAAAACTGTTAACGTAATTTTTTTTATTAAAAATCTTATTCAAGTAAAAAATAAATATTAGTTTCCTCTCTTTTCCTTTTTAAATATTGCATCTTCTCTTCAAAACATTTTTTATGTCAAAATTTATGAGATATATAGCTGTTTTCATTAAAATGAACACTGTAGAATTATTTTCTTTTAGATAGATTATGGGACATCCTCTATTTACACAATATCTGTATATTCTTAAAATCGTCGACACTTTTTTAAACTTTTAATCTTTTCCATCAATTTGGAAACAACTTTTTTCTTAAATGTTACTTTTTTATGTTTAAAATTTGTAGTGTTAAGATTATGCAATAATGAAATATGAATATTAAATCAATGATCCTGCTAAACTATTTGAATTTGAACTTGCTAAGTGTAGACATTTTGGTAATGAACAATTAATACAAAATTGCCCAAAATATCTGTAGCTCAAGGAAAATACAAATTTTTTATAATTCGCAAATTTATTTTATTTCTAAAACATATTTATTTTAACGTATTTATTTTAACAAATTATAGTTTTTATTAAAAAAAAAGAAAGAAAAAAAAAAACTTGTGGGAATATAAAAAGATTTCCCTTTTTTTTTCACAGAAACAAAGCAAGAGCAAGAATCACTTTCTACAATTCAACAAAATCCATCTTTATCATCAATGAAGCAAGAAAGTCAAATAATTATGAAAAATCAAGAAGATCACTCTGCTCCTAAAATTTGTGCCATCTTTTCGTTGAAGAATGAATTGAAGATGGAAGAAGAAGGGGCGCAAGTGGGCGGAGGAATTTTCGAGGAGATAGCAGAGGGAGGAGAGGACGAAGAATCTATTGAAGAATTTGATCCCGAAGATCCGGCTTTCCAGGAAGATGATGAAGAAGAATTTTCAAGGTCTTCAGCTGCTGTTTACAAGTATGACATGTTGGCAAAGTCTTATGTGAGAGTAGAAGGAAGTGAAGAGGTAATCTCTATGAAATCTGGAATCACTCAGACTTCAGAGGGTGAAGGAGAAAATCAAAAAGAGGGAATGAAACAACCAAATATTCTAAAAAGAAGATTATTGATGTCAACAACAACGACGAAATGTGGAGAAAAAGATGGGATACAGAATGAAATGGAAAATACTCTAAAAGAGTGCAAGGTGCAAAAGTTAGACTTGAATAATCCACTGAGCGTGAACAATGCTCCACATGAGGATGGAGTTATGTACGTAACTGTGAAGGGATCTAAGCCAAACGAGCTTTTATTGGTAAAGGTAAGCGAATATATATATAAGATGATATTTTACAATAAGTATGAGATGACGAGTTTAAATAAAATGTTTTTGTGCATTGAAGATTGCTTAAAATTGAGTAAAATTTATTTATTTAATTATTAGTATTAATTGTTTTAAATTGTTTTATTATATTTATATCCTAATATTTATTTCATTTAATTATGGTTTGTAAGATATACAACATTTTATATTCTAAGTATATCACATTTGTACCAATAAGTATGTGTGTGTGCGTGTGCGTGTGTGTGTATATATATATATATATATATATATATATATATATATATATATATATATATATATATATCCTTTTCACTTTTTTCCTTTCTTTTTTAGTCTTCTTATATTTTTGTATAATTATTTATTTTTTTATCTTTATTTCAAACGAGAAATTATTTCTTTCTTTTCCTTTTAATTTAACTTTTTTACTTTCGCACAATTTATGCTATATTTTATGTTATATCTTGTTTCCAATTCCTTATTAATTCTTTATTAATTTATTATCTCAAAATTTATAAAAATAAATTAAATATCTTTTCTTATATTTCGAACTATTCTGTGTTTTAATTTTATTCTATTTTTTATCGTTTTATTTACTTTTTATTTATTTCTTTTATTTCGTATTTTTATTTACTTTTTATTTATTTCTTTTATTTCGTATTTTTATTATTTTTCTAGAATTTTTATTTGCTCCTTATATTTCCTCTTTTAATTTCTTTCTTTTTTTCTTTATATTAACTCATTTTTAAAATTCAAGAAATCTCATTACTTTTTTTCATATGTTTTCAATTATACATATTAATGATATTATAATTACATTTTTCATTTTCTCTTTCTGATCTATAGGTTAAGAAAATGGATAAACCTATGGAATCAAAACGCATAGTATCCTCCACTGATCTCAAGCCTGTCGAACGCTTCCTCAAACGTTATGATACCTTAACATCGCGGGACTCCTCATCTCGACGTCCTGATGCTCGCGAGCAAATAATTGAGGAACAAATCGAAGAATATAAAAAAAAACGCGAGAAAGTTCTCGGAAATCAATCAGCAAAGACTTGTACCATAAACGAGATGCAAAAAGAAATACAAGAAGAAAACATGTGCGTTACATTAAGCCTCAAAAAAGAAAAAGAAGTAATAGTTCCAACAAAAGAAAAAGAAGAAGAAGAAGAAGAAGAAGAAGAAGAAGAAGAAAAAGAGAAAGAAGAGGAAACAGAGGAAAGCGAAAAAGTTAATGAAAGCCAGGAGAAGGTCAATGATAGTACGAAGGAATATATTTCAAAGTTATCGAGAGAAAAATTAAAATGGGAAGAAGCAAAGCAGAAGAAAGAAAATGTGCAAAATCAGGAACCAGACGAAACATGTACCGAGGGAAATTTAGAAAAGTTGACGAGAATCTTGGGAGAGAAGGAAGAGAATCTGCAGGTAATTTCTGTATAATTTTAATAAAATTCAATTTACTATAAAGTGTACTAGAGAATAAATGTGAAAATAGTTAAACATGAGGCTTATTAATATGTGTACTTTATTTTTGCATGAAAGCTTACTCTTGAAAATTAATGCATGTAAATATTATGTCATGTAAGTATTAGTTTTTTTAATGCTTTAATTTATCGATAATTTAATTAATTGATATTCTAAATATTTTAAGTATAAAATCTATAGAAAAATTAATTTTTATCTAATTTTTCAAAAAATGTATTTTATTTGTAAAAAATTTCATGTAATTGCTTAGTAAAATATATATGTATGTGTGTGTGTGCGTGCGCGCGCGTCTCTCTCTCTCTTTCTCTGTGTTTAGCTGTCTGTGTGTACACACACACACACACATACACATATCTATAACAGATTTGCGAATTCATTATTGTACCTATAGAAAAAAATATTACAAGAAATTAAACATCATTAAGATTTTCAATTTTCAAGTATGACCTATTTGAATTGTATGTGATTTTTGTTTAATTTAAATATATATATATACACACACACACATCTATAACAGATTTTCGAATTCATTATTGTACCTATAGAAAAAAATATTACAAGAAATTAAACATTATTAAGATTTTCAATTTTCAAATATGACCTATTTGAATTGTATGTGATTTTTGTTTAATTTAAATTTTTATATTAATTTATATTTGCTTCTTTTTTATATTATTTTTTTATTTCCAATTTTTAGTCTTTTTCTTATAATTAGCCTTTATTTTTTCTTTCATAAGTTTTTTTTTGTTTCAGGAATTTCAGGAATACTTGAAGCAGCGCAAGATCGTTCTTTCTCGTCTCAAGGACGACGACGTAATCTCTCTTTACGAAGATCGTTTTTCCATTACGTTAAAATTACCTCCTAAACCTCTACCAGATCTTATAGACATTCAACCGTCTGTTGATTCGCTCCCCATAGAGCGCTATCTGGAATGCGATTACTGCCCGGAAACTTTTTCTAATCGCGATGTTCTCGAAGAGCATCTCAAAACTCACGACTACCGCATCCTTCACTATTGCGACGACTGTGAAGAAGAATTTCCAACTAATAAAGCAAAGAGAAATCATAATGTCACTTGTATAAGAAAGTTAATTTGCAAATATTGCGATCTACTTTTGGATTCTAAAGGGAAAAAACGTCAACATGAACAGAAACATATCGATGCCCTTTATGGACAACTTTGCGAAGTTTGCGGAGAAAGATTCAAACATCAGGGAACCCTGGACCAGCACCTAAAAACACAACATACGATTTTGGAGAAAATTTATCAGTGTTCAAAATGTCCAAAAAAGTTTGCTTTTAAGCAAAAACTAAGTTTTCATCTGAAATCAGTACACACAACTTTAAGAGCATATCTTTGCGAAGATTGCGGTGCAGACTTTAAGAATCCTGCGAGTTTAAGGCATCACAGAATTAGAAAACATCAACCAGTCGGAAACAAAAGGGAATGTCCCGTTTGTAGGAAATTAGTGCCGTTCTATAGTTTATCCAAACATATGCACACACATAAAGCTTATAGTATTCAGTGTCCGCATTGTGATAAGATGTTTAAAAATAGCTCGACCTTGAAACAACATGTAAGGATTCATGAAGATCAAAGACAATATCGTTGCGACACTTGTGGGGTTGGATTTAATCGAAGAGATGGTTTGAGGTTGCACATGAAGGTGCATGAAAAAACAGGTAGTAGGGGCTTGAAAGAATGTTCTTGCCAAGTTTGTGGAGAAAAATTCCCGAATCATTCGACTTTGGTAATTCATAGAAATAGAGTGCACAAGGATGGCAGGCAATATACATGTCACATTTGTAATAGATCAATGATTTCGACAAGATCACTCGAATGGCATATGTCACACATTCATAATGAATTAATGCCAGGTAATATGTGTTTTTATGTTGAAAATATCAAGTTAACATTTTGTAGTATCTTTAGTTTTTTATTTAATTGTTATATATATATATATATATATATATATATATATATATATATATATGTAACATTTTCTAAATATTAGGAATTTTTTAATATTTTTGAAGGAAGAGGTGAAAGTTCTATCAAAATTCTAAGAATATGTAATATTAACTGCGTAAATATTAAAATTGAGCGAAATATTCTATAAGCACTGTCTTTTAAAGTATATAAAGTTAATTAAAGTTTTTGGAAATAAGAAATCTTTAAAAGAGAAACCTCTTTATTTGTTTAATAAATATTTTTATTTTTAAAATGATACAGTTTTAAACAAATTTTTCAAGTCAATGTGAGAGTTATTTTAAAATTTATCTCTAAATATTGTTGTTTATATTATTCCTTATAAATATTTTATTATTTATTATAATCTAGTTTTTATTACATTTTCTCATATTAATATAGAAAAATTAATTTTATTAAATAATATAAATGTTGAAAAATATTCAATTGTATTTTATTATTTATTAAGTTAAGGTGTATATATATATATATATAATAGTAAAAATACAATACATAAAGGAAAATTTTTCTTTTAGGCGTTACCCGCGACGAGTCCGGTCCGCCTGAAAAAAAACGGGTTTCCTGTTATCATTGCAATAAGACCTTCAAGACAGAGATGATACTTCGTACACACATAAAAAACACTCATATGGAAAAAGATCCAATGAAGTGTACCGACTGCGACCAGACTTTTACATCCGAAGTACGTCTACGTCATCATATGATGGTCGCGCACAATCGTCTCGAGGGCACTTTAGCATGTCCGCACTGTACGAAACGATTCGTCAATCAATTAAGGCTGAAGACTCACATGATTTCTCATTCTGAGGATAGACCGTATACTTGTGAGATTTGTGGTTTCAACTTGAAAACCAAGATTCAACTTCTGAAGCATCATCAAAACCGGCACAGCGACGAAAGACCTTTACAGTGCAGGTAAACTGATTCCTATTAATTTCTCATGCTATAGGCATGTGTGAGAAAACAAATCTTACGGAAATTAAAAAATCAAGTAAGGATTATTACATAGTATATATAACTAATTAATTTTGCTAATTAGTTACAGATTTTGTTAATCCATTTATTTAATTTTAAAACATTGATTTTTTTAGTGTGTATATATATTTCTTTTCTATGTATTATATTTTATACTTGATAAATAAATCTTAACATATTTTCTTATTATACACATGTAATATCACTGTAATAAAACATTAGGCAAATGTGATAGTAAATAGAATACAATAAAATTTATTTAAATTCGTGTATATGATTTGATAATATTAATTAAAAACAATGCAATCGCTTGTGCAGCAGAATGAAAAAGTTGAAATAATGATATTTGTATTGTCATTTATTATTGACTCACCTATTTATCTTGTTTGTCTTGAAAATCTTTCAGATTTTGTCCCTGGCGGTGCAAGCAGGTGAGCGCCCTCGTTTGTCACGAACGTACACACACGAATGAGCGTCCGTATTCGTGTAGCGTATGTCGCCAGCGCTTTAAATATCTCGGCGATAAAAACAAGCATGAGCGACGTCATGAGAGTCTTGGTGGTTCGGGATTCAAACGTATTGTGCCAGGAAGGAATATTAAACCAAAAGTGCGCGCCGACGATTCCTCTGGCTCCGAACAGGAGCAAGACTCGATCAAGGATTCTATAAATCAGCAGATGGAAGAGCAATATGAAGAGGAACAGGAAGAACAATACGAACAGGAAGAACAGATTGTCAAATTCGAACAGGAACAGATCGTCAAGTTTGAGGATCAGGAAGAGTATGAACAAGTGTACGAGCAGGTGAGAAACCCTATTTGTTATAACATTTTTAAATTCCTTTTAACTATTGTAACACATATACGATAAAAATATACATATACACAATAAATCGAGAATAAATAGAAAATAAATAAATAGGTATCATAAAATTAATAAATAATAATAAATAAATAAGTAAACAGTGTATAGATAATGAATATATAGTGTTTTATAATTTGTGCCCATCAATTATATATGCCCATTATTTCTTGATGAAAAAAATGATTGAAAAAAAATATGTCAAGAAATTGTGAACTATTATTTTTTTCTGCAGTGCTTAGTGAAGGAGAACATATCAAATAAAATTCACTTAATTAAAAAAATTTATTATTAGATGGATTGTTTATTTAAATTGCATTTTTGTAATATATTCTTTTTGGGGGGATTATTTCGATATTTGTTGCTCTTCTAGGAATATGAAGAAACTTCGAGAGAGGCATCGGAAGCTACAGAAGTAATCATGAACATAGAGGATTCTAATGTGTATACGGAGGAAGTTACGGCCGACAATATGGAGCCCAGTCCAGAAATTATGACGGACGAAATTATTACAAATGATATTCTGCAATCCGGTACCGCTGTAGTGCATCTACAACAGCAGGACGATACGGGGAAGATTCAAGTGATACCCGTGATGCTATCCTTGCCCGATCTGTCCGACACGAATGCCGAAGTCAATCTCGCAACCGCATCTATCATGTATAATAATTAGATTAAATTTTTCGGACTATAAAATTCTGTATGAATTAAATGCATTCGTTAAAAAAAGGGTTTCTAGATTTTTAAGCCTTCACAGATTCTGTTGTTAATCTCTTAAAATTCCAAGATGTTTGACGAGATACGTGTATAGAAACGCTATACAAAATATCAGAATTTTTATTTTAACTTGAATTTCTAGAATTTATGTATCATAAGAGAAATTTTATAGAACCTGAGAAATTCTCTAAGATCTAAAAAAATATGGTTTTTCTCAGACTGTAAAATTTCTTGAACTTGAGACAAGATTTCTGGATTTAGGATCGTAACTTTTAGAAAATTGCCAAGAGAATCTTCAATTTATATATATTCCATCAAATAATTCCATCAAAAGTTACAGGATACACATTGTGATAGTATTCTCATCCGAGCTTGTCTTATGATAAGAACAATACCAGAGCAATTGTAAAAAAAAGATTAAAATAAAATGAGAAAAATAAATCTGAATGTATACAAATCCAGGTAGAAAACGGACTAATGAGAACCAGATGCAGACATTAGGCATATATCGGGTGTCTGGTGATTCGCGTTTCACACGTTAATGGGAGATTCTTGAGGCGATTTGGAGGCGATTTTTCCTCTATGAAAATGTCGAGAAAGGTTATCATTTTTTTAATGTTCCCAATTTTTGAAATTATGTATCTTTGTAACTAACAATAAGCCTTAAATTAAAATTCTATTAACTTTACCTGAAATTAACTAAAAAATGTAGTTTTATTTATAATGTATTTTTATAAGGCTTAGTTTACAAAAAGCTTTTATTTTCAATCGTTTATAACTCGAAAATTATTGGTGCCTGGATATTTTCGCTGAGAAAAAATCGTCTCCAAATCTCAGAAATTTCTCATTAATGTGTGAAACGCGAGTCACCGGACACCCTGTATATAACACTTTTTTTAACTTTAATTTAAACATTTCAGTCCTTCCTTTGGATCATCTTCGGCAGATTAGCAAAACATTTGACGTGTCTTAATCCACATCGTCGTTTTACGTTTTCGATAATTTCTTAAAGCGGTCGAAGACAAGATAAAGAACAAAGAATGAACATTCTGTCCTTAGTGAGAGAAGTAATCATGTACTGTTTTATATATCGCTAATATTAGAACATTCGCTTTTTGTTCTTCAATTTGTCTTTGATTGTATTGAGAACTAAAGATGAAAAACGAGAATGTGAATCAAGACGCATGAATTTTAAAAACAAGTCGGTTGCGTTTAATTTCTACGCCTGGCTCTTACTACCCCATTTTTTACCTACATTTGTAAAAAAATAAAGATTATCAGTTTACGATTCTATTTCTTATTGCTAAAAATTAATTAATTTTGACCATATTGTAAGAAAAAAATTCATATACTTTTTCAACTTCAAATATATGACATCAGTAAGAAATCAAAAATTTTAGACAGAAAATTGTGAAAAAATTACAAGACAAATATGAGCAGAATTTTATAATTTGAAGATTATAAAATGTAAAGAAAGGTAGAGAAAGAAGATAGAAACTCCGAAAAAGAAAAAAGTTTAAAGAAATCGAAAATTAGGAAGAGAGAGATTCTTAAAATATTTCTTATTATGCTGTAAAAACACTTGGCATATAAAAGAAAATAATTGTAGAAAGTTGTATAAAACATAAAAATATATGAGACTTGAAGATTGAAAGTTAATGTAAGGAAAAGTTAATGTGAAGAAACAAGTCAAAAGATTATCATGAGAACAAAAATTGAAAATTGAGGACTCTAAAATGCAAAGAAAAAAAACAGAGACTCTCGAAAGTGTTTAGTTTGTAGAATAGCACAGTATGTAAACTATTTTGTATAAATAAGTGGGAGCGTAATGTATTGGTGCAATTTGTACGTGTGCGTGTATGTATGCGATGTGTTGTGTGCGTGTTATGTATTAAAAAATAAGTCATTTTACAATATATTATATATCATCTTTGTATCATTCTTTGTGAACAATGCATAGCACATTTTTCTCTAACAAACTAATCTGTTCTTTTTATCTGCATTTTTTCAATATTTTTAAGAATGAAAGAACATTATTGTTATCATCGCTATGTTTTCCTTATTTTCTTTTTTTTTCTAAGTCTAATAAGCTTATACTTAGTTATATTTGAATTAAAAAAAGGTGTAAAAAATATAGCTAAAGAAACTTGCATCTACACATAATTATGAAAGTCTATCCATCAAATACACAGGATCTGTTTCTTTTAGCTGTTTATTTCTTGAAAGTTTTCTTTAAATATAAATATTGAAAATAAATGTATTCATGTTTTAAGTATATATATATATATATATATATAATATTCTAATATACTTCTAACAGGATCAATATATTTTAACTGCACTTTCTCTATCTTTTTCTCCTTATTTGCTATATCTCTCATCTCTTCTCCCCCCCCCTCCCTTTCCTCTCTATCTCCCCAGATAGCCACAGTAATTATTATGACATCATTTTGATGTCAAAATGCATCATTTGCCATCAAAATGATGCATTTTGATGTCATAATAATTACTGTGGCTATCTGGGTCTCTACCTCCACCCATATAAAAATCTCAAGTTTTTCTATATGGATATATCTTTCTTTTATTTTAAAGTCTACTGTTGCAAAAAGTATAGTAGCTAAAAAGAACAGATTTTATATGCTTTTCAATACATTATTTTATTGATATACTTATATATTTTACAGATATATTATAATCCAGATGGCTATGAGCTGGATTTATATATGCTAAGCCTTAGATAAGATATATGACACGATGTACAAGATAATATGTGCTTTTTTTCTAACTTTGCTAATATCATTTATAGACTCCACTATTTATCCCTCCCTCTCTCCTTCCCCTCTCTCTCTCAGTCACATCAAAATAAAAACTAAAAATTCTTAATTAAGCAATTACTATAAAAATTTATATATTTTACGATTAATCAATTTTTCTAACATATATGTAAATATAAAATTGATAGAAGATAAAAATAGAATTGAAGATAATGATCTATATTTCTGAGGAACTATAATTATCAATAACAATTAATTTAAGCACTTGTGTCAAAACCTACATTTCAAAAATAGATATATAATATATCAAATATTAGTCGACATAATTTATATATATATTAATATATCATTATCATTTATATAACAAAAATCAGAAAATGAAATATATTACATTTTTCAAGAGCTAATATATATATAGCATATATCTGCCTCTAGGAACTTGACTAAATTAATAGCGCAACGATAAATTGTCACTAATTAAGATTCCTGATTTTTTATTCTATACTATTCAATTATTATTAGAAGCAAACAAGTTATTTTATTTTGTACCAAGTACAAATTAATTAGTTTTTTTGCATGTTAACTCATATGTTCGATATATTTATCCATATACATATATATATATATATATATATATATATATATATATTCTTACATCAAAGATTTTAATTTTTAAAGAAATGAAGATGAAGGGGACAAAGATATATCATATGGTTTAATAATTGTAAACCATGATCTAATATTGTAAGATTTATTCTCGTTATAAATATAGAATACATAAAGATTGAATTTTTCTATGCGTAGGATGATTAAAAATGGAATTTTCTGTTTTGTTTTGGCAATTTATATTGTCAAAGATGAGTTATGTTAGTTAGGCTTATATTAAATAAAAAACTTTATTTAAAATATTGGATTTATTGTAAGAAAAACAATTACAGTGTCTAGCTATTTTCTCCAAATAATATATAATAATACTATATATATAATATTATCATTGCAGTTCTACCATATCTAAGATAAATTATTTAAATAGAAAAACAAAATGTGAAAATTTGTTTTAAACAAAATATACAGGACATTAAAAGATAAGACAAAAGAAAGTTTGCTTCATATTTTTAATAAAGAAAATTTCATGTGCATGCGTGCAGATACACGTGTGTGTGTGTGTGTGATATACACACACAAAAATACACACAAGATGAGTCGCATGTGTATCCATCTAAACTTATTTTATTATAGTGGACCGATTAATTTTTTGTGTCACATATGGTTCAAAGACTTAAAACAATTTTAGCATATTTTTTTATATTTTTAAGGTCACCTTCAGTTTCTTATTAGATAAATCTAATTATTTATTACGCCTATCTTTTAGCGAATGATTTCAGCAAGCACATCATAAAATATTTTTAAATTGAATAGCTTACGAAATGTTTTGTACTTTATAATTTGGTATAATTTATTTACATTAAATTATAAAATATATTTCGAATATTTCTTATTAATGATGATATATATATATATATATATATATATATATATATAGTAAATAAAATAGCAGATTAATTATATATACACACATATACATATATATATATATATATATATGTATGTATGTATGTATGTATGTATATACATACATATATATAAGAATATATCTATATAGTAATATATAAATATTTTTTTATAAAATACATGTGTGTGTGTGTGTGTGTGTGTGTGTGTAGTATATACATATATATATATATATATATATATATATATATAACATACACATATAGAAAATATATATATCAGACACTGTGTATTTTTTACTTTACAGTTGTACAAAAAATAAAATTATAATTTACACATAAATCATTACAATACACACACACACACACACACACACACATCAGACGATGCGTTTAGCAAAGATGATATAAGAATCTTTCATACAGCGCAGAAAGCTTGTAAAAATACTGTGAAAATATTTTTTATAATATAATATACAATATGTTATTATCAGCCCTTCTGGATATCATTAATATACATATAATATATAATGTAGTCCAAAAAATGATATCAAGATATGTATACATATATACTCTGATAATATAATGATGTTAGTTAAAATTATTTTAACTCATTATAATATATATATATATATATATATATATATATTCATATTATTAATTCCTTAGAATTATATGCATCGTTTTTTTATTTTGCTACATTCTTCGCATTTTAAAATTTAAAATTTAAAATAACTACTTTTATTTTATATTATATTAGAATTTTATAAGTATTTTGCAGCAATCAGAAATTGATTTTTTTAAACATTATATATGAATATATATATATATATATATATATATATGTGTGTGTGTGTGTGTGTTTTAAAAAATTAATCTCTTATTGCTGTAATATTTATAAAATTAAAAAAAAATCTAAAATAAAATTTATTAAACATGTATGTGTGTATAAAAGCGAATCATCTTAAACAATAATAATAATTTGTAATAAGTAATAACAATGGAATGCACACATACACACACTATATATACATGTATGTATGTATGTATGTATATCTGTACAGTAAGAGGAAAGACGAGTAAGACCAAAGTAGTAAAATGTAGAAATTTACAAATTTTTAAAAATTAAAATTTTTTAAAAAGATATATTGATCCTGCGGTTGTTTCTTATTTTTCTTTAAATTTAATACTTGAAAAATTTTTGACATCATAAAGATATCTTATTAGATAAAAGATTACCGAATTTGTTTTCTCATATTACTATTAAAATAAAATAAAATAAGAAAAATATATAAAATATGATAAAAAGACAGATTAATTACGTTTTATCATATTTTTAATATGTTTCTTGCCAAAGTAAGAGAAAATAATAATTCTATAAATAAATGTTTGTAATTTTTTATTTAGTTTTTAAATGCAAGTTTTATATACATATATGTATATATGTATATATGTATATAGTCTGATATATTTAAATTAAAAAAGAATGTTATCAATGCTGATAATATTTAATCAAATAAATGAATTATGTATACATGTGCATAATTTTATAAATTATTTGTCTTATAAAAAAAGCCGACAATGTTTTTAAATCTTAAATATTCCAATCCCAGATTGTGTTCCAAATAAATCTTTTGACAAATTTGCAATTTTTTTTAAAGTTAATTTAATATCAAATTTTCCTTAAAACCTTTGATGGAAAAATAATGCTATTTAAAATTTTTTAATGTTAAATATTGTACACACGCGCATACACATACACACACAGACACGCACGCACGCACATACACAATAAATGCATCTTAAATAAAATATCATAAAAATTCGTCTAAAATTGAGTGAAAATCTAACTTTTGTTACTCATTAGCAAATCCAAGTTTAATTCTTGTCTAGACTTTGATAATATTGTACAAGCACTTGCCACGCTTTAGGTGCCATGAAACCATTTGGGGGATTCTGTCCTGCTTTTGCTAATCCTGCAAATAACATATAAAATAATGAAACTATAATACTGCATAATTATTGTATATAAAATAATAAATTGAAAAAATTTCAATTTTTTAAAGTTTTTTTTAATTTTATAAACATCTTCAAATGATTAAGTACATTGTATATCACGTTACAATAATGTAATTTTATACCAAAAAAAGTATGTTTGTGTTTTTATAAAATTGCAATTTTGCGAGTTACAATTTTGTAATAATGTAAAAAATTGAGAAATGTATCTAACTTTAGTCTATTAAGTAATAAATAAATGTTGTAAAAGTAATTTTTAATATAAATTCAACAATGTTAAAATAGTTATTTGCATAAAATAAAAATAAAATAAAATCAAATTTACATACACACATACTCTCAAGCGTACATAAGAATACACACACAATCATATATAAATGCAAGTGACATATACATATTTGTGTATTTTAATATTACTATATATATATATATATATATATATTTTTAATATATATGAAATAAAAGAGTATATATATATATATATATATATATATATATATATTGTTTTATTTTATATATAATATTAAAATGTAAGTATTATAGAATTTTGCAATCAGTACCTCGCATTTTAGTTCCCGAAATAAACTCAAAATCTTGCTTTCGTTCTGGTTCGTAGAATGCCATCTTGCCATTTTGTGTGTCATAGGCGGCTACCCTGAAAGGGATTATTTCGAGATTATGAAGTCCTCGAGCCATAGAGAGCACCCTGGCACCATGACTGGGATCATACAAATTGCCATCAGGAGTAGCATCTTTATTAGGATGTGGTATACCTGCAGGATCTCTGCCTACAATATAGAAGTTGGCGCCAGCATTCATTCTTGCTTTTGCATGCCATTGTACCTGAAAAATAATCGAAGATTTATTATTTAAAATTTAACTGATGTGAATAAATATAAGATGTAAAGTACAAAGATCTAAAGAGAGTATAGCAAAAATTGAAGAAATAAAATAGATGATAAAACTATATAGAGATATAAAATTAAAATTAGCAGCAAGATCTTAAAAGATGAAAAAAAAACTAAAGTTAAAAATAATAAAATAAAATTAAAATTAAATTAATAAATCTAATGTTAAAAGCTCATAACATGTAAAAGCTTTTGTTATTAGAATTTCACCTCAATTGGTCCTGCATACATCATTGGACTGGGGAAGATAGCTAGGAGTGTTGAATTAGCATCTAACACACCCTCCTCTAAAACTGCTTTATGTTGCAGAATTCTGGTATATAGAGGCACATCATCATCTTTCGTCCAACCACCGAGTGGATGAAGTAAGAGTATTGGATTTTTGAAACCTCGTTCTTCCAGCAACCTCTTCGTGTCCTTTGTAATGAACAGTAATGTTAGATTAAAGATTTAAGTATTTTAATATATAGTATTAACACATTTACAGCACATGAGAGAGGATATACATTTAATTTTTTTCAAGTTATTTTGTTGGAAATTCAATAACATACCTGCATAAGCAGTGCATGTCCATTATGAATGGGATTTCTTAATTGAAAGGCAAACACAGCGTCGGCATTCATCTTTCTGCATTTGGCGTGAATTTCATTCGGTGTTAGTCTGTATTTATCGAGTCCGTCGTGCCACCTAATTCTCTCCAGCACTTCGAGATCGCCGCCCATCAGCCAGTCGCCAGAATCATAAATCATTCTAATATATGGATGACCCAAGTTGTTAGTGCCAAACTGCCAACTACAGCGCTCTTCTTTTCGATGAAAATAAAATTCTGGTTTTCGTAGAATTGCCAAAATTTTGCCTTTGTGTCTCAAAGTTACAGCGAAAGAACCTTCCAAACGATTCTTATCACTTGTGTTTATCGCGAGAACGATTGGTATCGATTGGTTTACTTCCTTACCATCTTCGAGCAAACATCGCAAATGTTGAGCCTTGAATGGAGTTAAATCATAATACCTGATTTGATAATTAAGCTTGTAGATAAAATTACTTAATTCACTTAAGCAAACTCGCTTGATTCACCGAGTTCTGATTGCATATACACGAGATATAATTATATTTATATCGTAGTGTGTACCTGAAGATATTGATGCTCCCTCATGAAGCCAGTTAATGGTGTCGCCCATCCTTCTGCTAGAATCTGTAGCCATTGCACATCAAGTTCACTAATTTCCACACATTGCAGAGTTTCTGCTTCCATTTTCGTGGAAGCCAATTTCGAATCTGGCACGAATAGTTCTCTAATCGGGTTTTGAATCTGTGGAATAATATGATGCTGCTCTAAAAGTTCAATTACAGTCGCGGCGGATTCTTCAGGAGTGCAATCCTCGGTTTTAACAACTAAATCAGGTTTTGTAGGCCTCTCATACATTTGATCAATGCCAGTGAAGCCTTTAATGGTGCCTTGCCGGGCTTTTTTATAGAGACCCTTGGTATCACGGGCTTCGCAAACCTGCAAAGGTGTATCTACGAACACTTCGAAGAAAGGCAAGTCAGCTTTTCTATGAATTTGCCTTGCCATTTGTCTATCCTCTTCAAAAGGTGAGACAAAGCTACAGAGACAAATTTGTCCACTATCGGCGAAGAGTTTCGCTACTTCAGCTACTCTTCTAATATTTTCCTTTCTATCTTGTTTGCTGAAGGTCAGGTTGCAATTCAAACCGCTTCTGACATTATCGCCGTCTAGACTGTAAGCTGGAATACCGTGGTTCACTAAGATAGCTTCTACCTGGAATGAGATGGAAGTCTTGCCAGCACCTGAGAGTCCAGTTAGCCATACTGTGCAACCTCGAAAACCTCGAATACTGCCGATTGCTTGTCCCCGTTTTGCTCTGGATACATGATGCGCTTGTTCAGATACGTTTGCACAAGTCTAAAAGAATTTTATATCAGTTAATTTAACTTTTTTAACATAATGATTAAATAAATTTGAAAATTTGAACAACTTGATTTTTAAGAATTGGAAATATTTTAAGAATGAGATAGAGAATTAAAAAAATTTTTTATATATAAAAAAATTTTATGTAAATACACACACACAAGATTTTTCAACTTCTTTCACATTTTCACCAATTTTTGTAATTTAAAAAAATTGTAAAAATTTTGCAAAAAAAAGCCTGTTTTTATAAATAAATCATTGTTTTAACATGTTTTGATACAAAACTTGATTTTACAAATTTACACACACACATTTACACACGCATGTGTATGTGTGTGTGTATAGAGCTTTCAAGAATGTTTCGTAAACTACAACTTTCTAAATATTATTGATTTCATATGCAACAACTCAAGAGAGTAATAGATATTTAAAGTCATTGCAAATTTGTGTGTATATATATATATATATAAAATTTCATACACAGTTGCATAATTAAATCTATTAAAGGAATTATTCGATAGTGATAATAGCAAAATTACTTTAAATATACAGTTCTTAAAAGTGACATTTTTATTCATATATATATATATATATATATATATATATAGAGAGAGAGAGAGAGAGAGAGAAAGTATTATATATTCTACATTTATTTTTACTATACATATTTCTTATATTATCTTATATTATATTATATATATAGTTTAATTCTATATACTTTAGAATGAAACACATTAAATAATAATCCATAAAACAATAATAAGTAAATAAATTTTGATTATATCACAAATAATAATAATGAACAATAGAATACACACACATACACAAAATTAATAAAATAAATAATAAACATTAGATTTAGATAATAATGTAGATATATCTGTTTTTTTCAGATTATCTTAATTTATTCATATTATATATTAAACACACAAACGCACACTAACACACAATTAAAACAATAATGATAAAAATTTGAAATAAAAGCATCTCCCCTCTCTTATTAAACCTGTTTATTTTTATTTGTATAATTCTGCAGTTTTTCTCGTATTTTTCGCATTTAAAATAAAACATAAATTTTGGAGCAAAAAAAATAGGAGAAATAAAATATATATATGTGTGTGTGTGTGTATGCATATGTACATATGTATGTACATTAAATGAAAGAGACAGATGCAGATGAAATACTATAATACAGCAAATACATTTAGAAAAATTGAGAGAGGGAGGTGAGGGGAGAGAAGGAAATAAGCATTAAATATTGCGTCTATATATATATATATATATATATACATATAAAGGCAAATACATTGTTTATTTCTCTCAGCCTCTTATATAAATTGAAATTCTTATTATATAGCGGTAGAGACAATATTGCATAACATACATACCATTAATTTTTTATTTGGCGGTGGCAAAGCATCCTCACTGCTCAGCGACATGACTGCAGTCGAATATGTATATACGTGGCACTCGCGTAAAGCGCAATCATAAGTAATACTGAACGATGCACGAACTGCACGATGCTCCCTCGTCGATCGACGGTGGCTTACTAAACTATACTAAACTGCGTGCTGCGTGAACACAATTGCGGCAGGAGTGGCGCAAAAAACGTATCACAGAGCAAAAGAAAGTGGGTGATACGAGGTTTTAAGCACTGAATTTGTGAAAAAATATTTTATTATATTATAAATTTCTACATATTTGATATAAAATAGATTAAAATATAATAAAGTTATTTAAAATGTTTAAACAAAGTAGATATATAATATATATATATATATATATATATATATATATATATATATATATATATATATATATAATAATATATTTAATTTTTTCTTTATTTATAATTAATGGACGGCTGTATGATATATTACAATCTAAGTTTTATAAAGAGTATCCATTATATATATTAACAAAAATTTATTCTTTTATATATATATATATATATATAAAACACACACACACACACACACACATATATATATAATACATATATGTGTGTGTGTGTGTGTATTATAAATTTCTAATTAAAATGTCAAGCTGCATTTTATGTATGTGTGTGTAAATTAAAATAAAAATTGTATTTTCTCAAATTATCTAAATTCTTAAACAATCTGCTGCAAATTATTTTTAAGTTATTATTTGTATGTTAGGCAGTGTGTGTTTTATACAAAAATAGTAAGTTAATAAATTTCATAATAAACTTCATAATAAAGTTTGTACATACAGATACAATGCGAGGCACAATATATAGATAAAGATTATGCCATCTTTTTTTCTAGAGTATCATACAAAATATTTCATATAAAAATTACATATATTATTATTAAAAACAACTATTAATAAATAATTAAAAAAGCAAGTAAGTGAATTAAATGTATATGACACTTTATAGAGAATTGAAAATAAAAACTCGATAAAACTATTATAATATATAAACGAAATATGATAGTTTATTTCTCATATGTATCATCAATATTATATATTCACAGAGAAATTATAAAACTGTTAAATTTATATAAATATATAATTTATTTATATATAAATATAATTAGTAAAGATAAATCTATACTGTCATTGTATATGTAATTTTGAATGATAATATTAAAAAAAGATGACACAGCTTGCATGCTTTTTAATTACAGCTTTGTATCACCTTTATATTTTATGTACCAAATATAAATTTTAGCTATTATTCACTTGTTAACTATATTACTAATTTATTATCAGTTGTTTTCCATTTAAAAAGTATAGCCTCAACATATTAAAATTTTCACATTCAAATTAGTAAAAAAGTATTATTATAATTATGTCACATAATGTAATGACAGATAAGGTGTCTCCATATTTAAAAAAGTCCTTTTAAATATTGAGCAAGATATTGCACAATAATCTCAAGATATGAAATATTTCATAGCAATTATTAAAATTACAAGCAATATTGAAACAGTCATAGTCTGTGCACTGTTACATCTATGATCAAAGTAACAGAAGCACCAAGTAACTTCATCATAATAATCACGATGGATATCTAATTGATGAATGCTATTATTAACATAATGACCTAATCGTACATCTATAGCAGCAGGTCTGCAACCTTCATAATGATCTGCAGGAATATCTGTTCTAAAGCTACGTACAGAGCTTAGGCATTCACGTGTAATGATTGTCTCAGCTGAAAGATTCGCAATTAAAATATATATGTATGTACACATATATATATATATATATATGTATATATATATATATATATATATGTGTATGTGTTTATACAATTTAAGATAAAAAAAATTTTTTTTAAATTATTGTGTAAATAATATTAATAGTTACCTCCTTTCCGTTCAATTATCTTCACACATTTGTCATCATATTCTGGACAAGTTTCTCCCCAATACCATAACCAATTTAAAGGTGTTCCACATCCAGGATGGTTACTGTTACATCTATAACAGTATAAGCTATCGCCTGCAATTAGAATTTTATTATTTCAATTTAATAAAGAAATTAAAATGAGATAGCCACGCCCTTTCATTCACAAGATAAAATATATCGCACCTTGACCTGCCAAAATCAAAAGAAAAATAGCAAAGAGAATTTTTCTCATTATTAATGCGCTAATAAAAACTGTACACAATTTTATATTTTATACAATGTTTTGTTTATCTTCTTCTTGAAATGTTTTGTTTATTATAAATGAAATGTGTGACAAGCTTCTACTGCATGCACCATAGACATATAAAATACATAGATGAGAATTAATTGCTGACTGGTTTAGCTTAACTAGTTAAGCCCCTTGCACAATGCCAGGCAATAGGAATAAGAAATAGAAAATATCAACCAATCGGAAAAGGAGATAGATATTATTTTCTACTTTTATTGGTGGATATTTTCTATTTCTTATTCTTATTGCCTGTTGCCTGGCATTGTGCAAGGGGCTTTATTGTCTGCTCCTATTGGTGGATATTTTATATTTCTTATTCCCATTGCCTGTTTCCTGGCATTGTGCAAGGGGCTTAATTGGTGAATTTTTAGGCCGGGTCCACAATAGGATGTAAGTCCTATGCTTTAAGAAATTGACTAATCACAGTCGACTATTCTTCTCATACTTGATTGTGATTGATCAATTTCTTAAGGTTTAGAGCTTAAATTACCTATTGTAGACCTGGTCTTAGGCCGGATCTACAACAAGTGTAGTAAGCTCTAAGCTTTAAGAAATTCACAATCACAGTCAAGAATGAGGGGAATAATTGACGGTGATTGATCAATTTCTTAAGCGGGGTCTACAATGGCAGCAGAAGTACAGAGTACAAGAGTAAGCAGTAAGCAGTACGAAATGGGATTGGCTCATTTCGTCGAAGTAACGGAATGAACCAATCCCATTTCGTACTGCTTACTGCTTACTCTTGTACTCTGTACTTCTGTTGCCATTGTAGACCCCGCTTAAGATCTCCTTGGTGTAGTAAGCTCTAAACCTTAAGAAATCCACCAATAATAGTCGATTATTCCCCTCATTCTTGACTGTGATTGGTAAATTTCTTCAGGCTTAGAGCTTGCTACATCTATTAATAGACCTGGTCTTAAGCTTACTATCAGCGCGATTCTGATTGGCTTCTGCTTTTTTGTTTTCTGGGGGTCGATTATGTAACTTTTTCTAAAGTAAAAATGTAATTTTTTTCTAATGTAAAAAATGAAAAATTTCTTCCAATCACACATCGATTTTATTTAAAATCAATGTGTGATTGGCGGAAATTTTTTACTTTTCACGTTTTCACTTTAGAAAAAGTTAAGCGGGGAGCACACACTTTTGCATAAGTGCATAAGCGTAAACATGAGAATATTGATTGGTCTATAAACGTATGCATAAGAAATTCAATCAATCGAATTTCTTATGCATATGCTTATGCTCTTATGCAAGAGTGTGTGCTCCCCGCTTTACATAATCGACTCCCTGGGGGTCGATTGTGTAACTTTTCTAAAGTAAAAACGTGAAAAGTGAAAAATTTCCACCAATCACGCATTGATTTTAAAATGAAATCGATGTGTGATTGGAAGAAATTTTTCACTTTTCACATTTTCACTTTAGAAAAAATTACACAATCGACCCCCTGCTTTTCTGTCAAGATGTGAATTCGGCCTAAGGAACAAAAGGCTGCATTTGGAAACGTTCTCCGAATGCATTCTCTCTCTTTCTATATCATTGACAATAGAAGTGATATAGAAGAGAGAGAATGTATTCGGAGGTCGGAGGACGTTTCCGAACGCAGCCAAATAGGTGATGTTGCGATCGCGAGTGAAAGTGAGATGCACTCAACACCGAGAAAGAAGGGAAGAATAAATGTGTGTTTCATCTGTATTTTTTTTCAATTTTACTTTATATTTTTCCTCTTTAATATTTAAATATTTATTATCTATTTTACGTGCAGAAAGTATAGTACGCAGTTTTTGTGCAGTCTAACTAATAAAATATATTCTATATCCTATATGTTTATTTTTTACAAATGATATAGTCGAACAGTGTGTTATGATTACAACATGTTTTTCAATGTTTATCGATGTACAATTTTCGATGGCCTGCCGCTTTGCCGTTTTTTTGAATGTTTGGTTCATTCTTTTTCGAAGTATGTTTATTTTCTGTATATACAATAATAGTCTGTTGTAAATCTTATTCATTTATTTCACATTTTACAAAATATTCTATTTAGATGTATTAAGATTATTTAACAAACAATTATTCGACTGAATCATGAAATAAGAAATTAATTTGTAAAAATCTTATTTTTGCAAATTATAATGAAAAATTAAATTATTTGATGAAACAATTTCATTAATATAAATTTAAATTATAATGATATCAGTAGTAATATAAAATAATAATAATTGTATTAATATAATTGTTAATGCAATTATTGTAATATATATTATGCATATTAATAAAATAATTTTTTTTATGTAATTGCAATAATAATGATATAGAAGTAATAATAAAATTTTACTTATTATATTTAAATTTTAATAATAATTACAAGTATAAGAGCAAAAACAAAAAATTGCCAAGTGTTTAAGCAAAAGTATTTAAATGCAAACACAATGCATTTGCATAATGAATATATTGATGAATCTAATATTGTTTTTTTTATATCTAGTTAATCACTGTACAATACCACAAGCAAGTCAGGAAGATCAGCTTCATTCATTTAAGAGCTATTCTGATGTGGCAATATTTCATTATACTATACCAAAAGATGTGTATCGAGCTACATGGCATTTGCTGCATTTATGGATGAGCCCACGTGTCAACCACGGAAGGTTTATATGTAAATAATTTTTAAAAGAATTTTTATTTAAAAAACTACACTAATATAATTTTTGCACTATTTGCATGCATATGCTTTTTTTAGCAAACAAATTTTTGGAAAATGTAATTTTTAAAAATTTTGCTTAGTATATATGTGTACATATTTTGTATGTGCAAGACATGTAATATGTGTTATCAATTTTAATTAGTTTTACAAATTTATAATATGCTAATAAATTCTTTATTTCTTTGGTATCACTTTTGGTAAATTAATTGGTAAAAATTGTTTTACCAATTCTTTATCAACTTCATTATCTTATATAATAGCTCGAAACATTCTCTATAATTTATTAATAAAAATTTATATCAAATTTATATATACTTTTATAAGAATTATATATATATATATATATAATTCTTATTTTATAAAATGCAATTAGTTTATAAATATGCATTTCTAAAATACAAAGTAATTATATTTATTTTTTAGTTTCTAAACAAAATTATTTTAGTAGATTATATGAAGAAAAAATAACAGTTGAAAAAATAATATAAGATATTAATTAGTTGAATCTAGAATAAATTTTTTAGTAAGATAGTAAATAATGAATATAAGTTAAATTCATGATTAAAGTATATTATTAGAGATTTGTAATTAAAAGAATAAAATAATATAGAATAATAATAAATTAATTAGAATAAATTATCCTAAGAGAAAAAAGAGACATTCAGGGATATATGTAATTACAACTTTCAGACATTTGAAAGTCGGTAGTTATCCAATAATAACTATAAATAATGGAATATCAAGTATATACAACGAACACGATGATAGTATCATAATCACTACTACCACAACATATCAATCAAAGAACGCAACCATTGTTCCGGTTTCTGGACCACAATCAGGGGATTGGTTTGTTGCAGCTTATATGTCTTATTGGGATGAGAAAATACAACAACAGGTATATGATTTTATCTTTACAAGTACCTTTCATGTAGATAATTGCAACTAATATTATCATTGTTATTAGTTATTATAAATATTATTTTAATATAAAAAATATTCTTGTCAAATAATAATTTCTATTGAAACTCATATAAGAAGATTACATGAAAGTATAAAATATAATTAAGTTTTTGTATTTTTACTCTCATTGAAACTGAGCAGCTTCTTTATTTTTTCATATTTTTTTTAATTCTTGCCATAGACATGATGAATATAAATAATTGAAAATATACAAATTATTTGTAAAATCTAAATAAGCTTTCTCTAAATCATTTTATTATTTTTAAAATTGTTTTTATTAATTTTTTTGCATTCCTTTTACTCATTTATTTTCCCCAACATTAATGTCGTGCTATCTTCATTTAATAGATAAAATAGGGCAGAACATATAATGATACAGGGGCACTTGCTAATCTGACATGCTTCAATGTAAGTGTAAGGTTTATGGCACACAAAATAACAATAAGTAAATAATAAATTATTTGCTTATATTTTTTAAACATTTTACTAATGTGCCATTGACTTAATTCTTTGCACAAGTTGGAAGCGTTCTTTCTTTCAAAGGAAAAAAAAGAAAAAATATACAGAAATTGGACAATCTCGTTAATAAAAATGCTGGATAATTTTTTTTGAAATTTTTATTTGTTCCGTCCTACTGTCAAAGTTATTTGAAGTTTATATATGCAAAACAGCATAGAGAAGAAATTAGTGACTCTATATATATATATATATATATATATATAGGAAATGTAATTGGGGAAAATATATAAGGAAAGTTTCAAAAAGAGAAATATATAAAAATCCAACTATAATAAATTAGACAATAACTGGATAATAATATACACACATATAATGTGTAATAAATTAATTAATTAATAAATGTAAATTAGATTCTCAACAATTAGAATTTTTGAAAATCAACATTATTTAATTCCTTATTTCTTCTATATGTGTGACTCATTTCATTTTTTTTGCTCTTATATTTCAGGGACTTGGACACAAATGTCAATACAGCATAGGTACAGTAGCACTATGGTCACAAGTAGATAATATCGAGAATATTTGCATTGGTTGTCAAATGATATTGCGAACAAGTACAACGACAGCATATTACAAGTAAGATTGTCATTATTCATGAGAAAACATATAGTATTCAACGATATATAATAATACACACATATATATATATATATATATATATATTTATATGTATCAATAATTTTTTTTATTTAGAATACATATTCCATCTGGAATATGGAGTTTTCGTTTGTCAGTCTGGAACTGCAATTTCTTGTTACATAATCAAGATGTTCACGAACCTTGTATCGACGCTATGTCTTTAAAAGGACGTGCTTTGCCAATATTTAACCATCTTTATCCCATGAAATTTACACATCTGACTACAAATGCTAGTTATACTTTCACAGAATCTTCTCCTTATGAAGATAGTTATTACTATTTATTAGTCGTTTCGCGAAGTGTTATCGAGTTCAGTGTCAAGGTTGATATATTAGGTATATATACACATTTTTATATCCATATTTTTACATGGTTATTTAATCATTTATTAAAATAAATGCATAGTATACAAAAGCAGAAATTCAGTTTAGAGAAAACATAATTAATAATTCATATAGTAAAGGTTAATTTAATATAAAGAGTTTAGAATAAAAGTTGCTATAATTATTAGCAATTTATGTAGTTATTTTATATTATATAATTTATATATTATATACTAATAGATTATTGCTCATTTATAATGAAATAAATAATTTCAGGATGCCCAATCAGATTAACAGATATATCATTTACAAGAGAATATATCGATAATCTTTTAAGCTTTAATTCCGTAACAGGACCAAATACCAAAGATGTATTAAAATATGAATCTTATAAAGAAAATAATGCTAGTAGATTTTATGATAGAAGTAAGTTTGATAAAAAAACGAAGAATATGAAACTGATAAGGAATGTATGCAAAGATATCAATTGGTGCGTGTAAAACACGCGGAGACATTTTCAACTGTTTATCTCTTGCAGGTAATATTTTCTAAAATATAATAACCAGAATTAATAAAAAATAATTATTAAGATTTCATAATTAAATTTTTATAAAGATTTTTATGCTACTGAACTTATTGATTTAGTGTTTTGACATTTTTAAAGAAAAATATTGTAAATTATGATTGATAAATTAAAATGTATAAGATGAATTTCTTTGTGTAGATTATATAAAATAAATATGTCGTTGTAAATATATATAGGGAAATTATTTCTTAAACTACAGTTACATAATATTAATATTAATATTTATTTTTCAGAGAAAAGAATGGTTAAGTTCGCAATTAATACTAACTGACTCAGCTCCAATCCTGACACAATTTGATATTTTGCCATTAATCGATATTGGTGGTACACTTGATATCGATGTACATTTAGAATTAGAAAAGGTAAATAATATTTGTAGGCTTTATTTTTAAATTTCTTTATTAAAAGTTTGTTGTATTTTACATTAAGTTTTAATATTTATTTAATTTTTTTATATATTGTTTTTATATTTTAAGATACTAGATTGTTTTAAAAACTTTTTCTTTCTTTTAAGTCTTATGCAAATATATATATACAGAGTGTCCCAGATTTACCGTATCACACGTTAATGGGAGATTCCTGAGGCAATTTGGAGACGATTTTTCCTTAGCGAAAATGTCCAGGCACCAATAATTTTCGAGTTATAAACGATTGAAAATAAAAGCTTTTTTGTAAACTAAGCCTTGTAAAATAAATTATTAACAAAACTACATTTTTTAGTTAATTTCAGGTAAAGTTTACTTTAATAGAATTTTAATTTAAGGCTTAGTTACAAAGATACATAATTTCAAAAATTGGGAACATTAAAAAAATGATGACCTTTCTCGACATTTTCGCTGAGGAAAAATCGTCTCCAAATCGCCTCAGGAATCTCCCATTAACGTGTGATACGTGTAATTCTGGGACACCCTGTATATATATAAAATTGTTCTACATGCAAAGTTTAAAAGTCTTTTAATCTTGGACTCACCAAATATTTTCTTTAGTTTGAACTCTCTTTTTGCGCCATTCATTATTTATTGTTTATTATTCGTATTTGTTATATGACTTAAAATAACAAAATGTGTGAAAGAAAAAATATGCTAGATATATTTTTTGTCTTTTATTTTATGCATAGGCATGTAATTACGCAAATGTGAAATGGCGTAAGAGGAGAAGTGTAATAAGCGATAAAAATACAGAAGTAATAATGATCCCTTTGTACTACTATAATTACTATAATTAATTATAATTACTATAATTAATTATAATACTACTATAATTAATATTATATATAAGTAATATTTTTGTGTATATAAAATTTTTAGCTACCATCAGCACAATCGGTTTTGGTAACATTGTGCATTCAAAAAGGTCGTATACCTAAACTAAGAAAGTTCCATTCTTGTGAAAATGGAACTTTATCAATGAACCTATCATCGTTACACAAGCACAACACAAATTTGTTAATATTATATCCACAACCAGACACATGGTATATTATTATCTATGCAACATGTTATAACAGGAATGGGTAAGCATTGAATTTCTGCATATACATTATTAGATCTCTATTCTTGAATTATTGATTGAGACTGATAATGAGTTGTTTCTTTAAAATTGTTTCTTAATTTTCATTCTCTTCTAATAGCATGAGTAAAACAAAAACTTTTATCTTTTACACCCTATTTTATTTTATATATGATCATGTAGTTATATGTAAGAAATATTTACATTGAATTCTATACATATATTAGGAGATGATTTGATATAAATGTAGGGCATAAAATTTCAATGTCTCTTTTGATCATAAATATAGGAAATATAGACTGCACATCTTATGTTTTGTTAGAAATTTGTGTGCCAAAATTAGAAAAAGGAAGCAATATCTATATATCCCTCTCTACACTTTCATATTTAAGAGAGAAAACTATACTTCCCAAAGCTTTGTTTCTTTTCTAATTTTGATGTAGTATATTTGTTTAATATGTGTAGTCTATATTTCCTATGACTATGGTCCTAATATAGTCTCATCAGAAAGTTTATTTTATATCCTATAGAGAGAAATATACTTATAGTTTATGCTTATAATGACATTCTTAAATTTTTCATGTTTTTTTAGCAGAAAAATATTTTTACATGATTTTGATATTTTGATTATATAAATATGAAAAGTTTCAAAATTAAAAATTATGTACATATATATATATGTGTGTGTGTGTGTGTGTGTGTGTGTGTGTGTGTGTGTGTGTGCGCGCGTGTGTGTGCGCGCGCGTGTGTGTGCGTGTGTGTGTGTGCGTGTGTGTGTAGGGTATCAATTTTATACCCTAGGATTTTAGTAAAATTTTAATTTAACGTTTTATAATATTGTATGATTAAAAACGTTAATTGTAATAAAATAAGAAAAATTATAAAAATTATTTAAAGAATGATGTACCTACATCAAATTTGAGATAAAAAAAAATTAAGAGTTTGGTTAACTTATAAAATTATAGAAAATATTTTTTATTTGATACTCCATTTATCACATTATAATATTATATCCAATATAGAAAACCTGTACACTGTCAAAATGAGAAGATTTCCATATTAATGAATATACGCACCAAAAGTGTGTACTTTCTGACCAAAGTCCTTGTGGTAATCACGGCGTGTGTCAAGAAATTCAGAAGAACGTTCTCCATTATGCAACATGCAATTGTTTTAAAGGTAATATTAGCAAAATAATTGTATTAGTAATTTTTATTTATATATATAGAATAATTTTGTGATTAGAAACATTTTTGAATATTTAATCTTAAAAAGTATAGAATTATATAAAAAATTGAAATAATTTTTTATATATATGTATCCTAATTTTGTATACAATATTGTATATAAATATATTAACTTACATTGTAATTGAAATTAAAGCAAAAATTTTTTGGAATAAAATAACTTCTCAAATTAACAATGTAAAATACATGCATGGAATCATCTCAAATTGTGTGACAATTATAATATATATTTGAATTATTCAGGTTACACGGGATGGGATTGTACTGACATTTCGAGTACTATCACTCCTACTTCTTTTTTTATGAGTACCACGTTGCTCATTTTGAGCAATATTTTTTTTATACCAGCTATATGTATAGCTGTAAAACGGAAATTTTATGCAGAGGGACTAGTGTACTTAGCTATCATGCTTTTCTCGTCGCTTTATCATGCCTGTGATCAAAATGGTGAACGATTCTGTATTGCCAAGTATGAAGTATGTCAGATTAAACTGTTCATTTTTAATCTATCTCTTTCCAAATTAAGAATTCCATTTTTCTTAAACTAAAGCCTTTGGAATATCTTTGTTTCGTCCTGGATTATCACTTTGTATTTAAATTAAATGTTAGTAATTTAAAAGTCGTCGAAAAATTTATCTGAGCATTTAAAAGTTATATATTATACATGTTAAATATTGGATTTAAGTATTATTTATTACATTCTCTGTTTTTTTAAAGTATTCTGTTTTTTTTTAAAGATGCAAATTTTATAATATTAAATTGATTTTATCAAATTGAAATAAAATTGTTTTATTATGATTAATAAATAATAATAATTAAGAAATTAATACAAATTTGATAAATTTAATTCAATAAAACAAATTTAATGGCTAAATCAAAATTTTTATACACAATCTACGATATAATATTTTTATACACACTTTGATATAATATTTTTATATATTTGATACATATATGATTTTTTCTCGAGTATTTTGGCGTTCTGGGTTACGTTAGTAGCAATGGCAGAATTACCGATTGATTTTGTACCATTGTGCCATATGACAGGAGTATTTGTTATCACTTTTGCAATGCAAGTTGACAGGATGTGTCTGATCAGCATTTTGACACCATTGTCGATGGGTGTTGTTATACTGGTAAATTTATGACATATATATAAAAGACAGAGTGTTGTACAATATAATTTTAATTTAATTCATAACGTTAGTAAATACAGGCATCAAATTAAAATAAAATTAATTACATATATGTAGTAAAAACACTATGTAATTAATTGGATAATGTATGTAAAATTTTAAAAAAGTATTAAATTAAGCAAATATTCTAAAGTAATTATTAAATTATTGATAAATATTTTTTATGAAAAACTGTGTTATCTGATCATAATTTATCAACTAATTTATTAATGTTAATGTTAACGTTAACAACCATATAACCTTTTCGCAATAATATAGAATATAGAGTATATATATTTAAAATATATTCCTAATTAATTATTTAATGCGTTCACAAAAATATTACACTTTGTTTTACAATTATGCAATAATTTCAAAAATTATAAATATTTATTTGGAATACAATATATAGTAAAAAAAGCACGTGCAATTTGTATTATTATATCGGCTAATTTTAATAGTAGAGTATGATAAATTATGATTATGATAAATATTACATGAGTAAATAAAAATGCGTTATACTTTTTCTCATTTATAAATATAGAGAAATAAATATTTGTTATTTAAGATAAGATATATTTTTTTTATTTATATATTTTCAGCATATTTAAAACATATTCTAGCAAGTATTGATGAAAAATTTGGAATATTCTGTTGTAGATTCTTACATATATCTATCGGATTGTCAAATCTAAAAGTGCAAGAAACCGAGCCGGAAAATACTACTAGGTTTCCTCTTTGCTATTGCAGGATTATTACTTTATTCTTTCATTGAAACGGAGGAAAACTATCAAGTACGTTCGTATTTATCTACACATAAACAAATACACATACACAAAAAAAGCGCGTCCAATATATAGATTTTACACATTATTTCTTTTAATCAATTTTATAATCTATTTAGGATTTAATAATTTATAATAATTTTACAATTTCGGACATATGAGGGGGGGGGGGGACTTTATACTATATATATTATACAATCTATTTGTATTTAATTTGAATAGATTATTTATGAATATATATGTATAAAAAATGTTTATTCTTTCTTCTATATGTAAAAATAATATATTTGTTATTTAAAGAACTTTTAATAACAACAAATTCAAAAGAACAACATTTTTTAATGACACACACACATACACAGATATAATTAATATAGTATACAAAAAAATGTCATGGGTGGTCGTCAAAAAACTGCATAGATAGAAATAGTCAACTATATATATTTTTCGATACTTTAAGGAGCAATAAATTTTCATTTTTTGTATATTTTGTTGCAGTATGTTCATAGTGTATGGCATATTGTCATGGCGATGTCATTAATATTTTTGCTGCCACCAGCAAGATCGAAACAAACTACATCATCAAGAAATATTTTTTTTAATAATGATGGCGAGTCATCATGCAGTTATAAAGAATTTTACGAAATTCCTACATTTACAATAGTTGATCAGGAAAATCAAACTATTCCTTCTAATTAAAAATTATATTTATAAAACTATTTATTGTTAATAAATAGTTTTATAAATTTTCTTTCTATTTCTCTTTCTTTTTCTTTGTCTCTGTCTCTCGTTTTCGTACATTTAGAAATAAAATATATATTATGGTACATAAATAGAGAAAGATCTAGTTAAATCTATAGTAAAATTCAATTGATAGTTTTGCGAATAATGTTCTTTATATTTTTATTTTTATATTTCAGTTTTCATTTTTATGTAGACGGTGAACGATTGTGTTTTTCAATAGATATATATATATGAGGAGACCGGATAAATGAGAGTCAGGAAAGAATCCGGATCAAATAAGGAATTATTATTAGAGTATAATGTATTTATTGCGAAATCAAGGTGCCTCTTGTCGTCCAAATACGAAATGTTCCCTTGTCTCTTCGCCGTCGCTCCGACCTCGGCGGTCCTCTGTCCGATCGTAAGAGAGTGTCTGCGAGTCCGTGATGAAGCGTAAAAGTGCGTCCAAAAGAGTGTGTCCAAAAGAGAGAGTGTTCGTCTACCAAAATCGCTGATACTTATATCGCTCCTAATTTTCCCTAATAATCCTTTCCTATCATACTTGAGCCAATCGCTAAGCGACAACTAATCCGTGCTCTGGTTTGTTTTCGAACGGTCGCATCTGTTATTTTCTACACCGATCAAATCTCTTATTATTCGCACACAGTGACATAAATATAAATAAATAATCGAACACGAGGACGAGACGACAAGGCGACAATAATATGATGGCGTGATACATACTCTTGAAAATAATAATCGCACGCCTACATTTATATTTCAATTTCTTAACATCAAGGAATATAACATTAAATCTACATGTTGAAACATGTGAAATGCTGCCAATCACACAATCGAATGTCATTTATTGTAGTTTCTATCATAATAACATTTAAGTAGAAGTCAAAAGAACTTTACTCGGTAAATATTCATGATGTAAAAAAAAATTACATGCTCAATACCGACACTTAATCGGTTCATTCAATGTCTTCATTCAATGCTTGATTCAATTTAATTCCATCTTCTAGCTCGTTCTATAATTGTAATCAAGTAACATTAGGACACCCTATATACATAAAATATAAATGTGTGTATATATATGCGTATATATTAATTATATTTTATTAATATGTATTATATATCTTCAGAGATATTTCAATTCAAATTTCAAATAAATTTCTTTTATCGTCTTTAATCTTTAAGATAATAATATATAATATGTAAAATATATTATAAAAGAAGTATAAATTGTGTGTAAGAAAATATTTGATAATTTTATATAACAAATTTTATTTGCATAACATATTTTACTTATAAAAATCGATTTTGAGAATAGATTTTGCATTGTTTTTTAAGATCATAAATAAGATTATACGCATTTTTATTAATTTTTATATTTTCAGTGAATAAGTTACTTTTGAAAAATGAAAATGTGTGATGTTTTTTAATTTTATTTAAAATCGATATATTTTTAAACACTACACACAATATATATATATATATATATATATATATATATATATATGTATGTATGTATGTTTTTTTTTATATGTACTCGGGTTTGAAATAGACATAATTTTATTAGAGTTCTTCAAACGAAAAATATACATGAAAATAATATTTATTTGATTTAGTTTATTAATTTTAGAAAATATATGTGGAACTATTGAAATGATAGATTTAATATTTTTTGAATTCTTGATTTAATAAAGTGTTTTAATTTGTAATTTTCCACGAGAGGTCTCCATCAGTCACAGTCTCCTTTCAACCCTTAACGCGACCCTTCACAATACGTTGTGATACGATGAGCGATGAGGAATGACGACGGCTGCGCCCTGCGTATTTGCTGGCATTTACGTTTCAGCAGTCGTCGCGAGTGGTCACGAAAAGATCGACTGAGAGAACACTGTGAGTCTATATTTTTTCTTTTTTTCTCTTTTTCTAGTTTGTTTCGTATTCGTTTTTTATTCTCGATAATTTATTATCGTGAAGAATATCACACCTGCGATTATCAATTAAATGTTACAGTTTCAGCAAGTTTCGAATTTTCAGATGCTTCACATGGAATAATCTTACTCAAATTTTCTCGAAATATCTTATAATTAGTCTCTCTCTCTACACACAAGTGCGCTAAATTACTTGATTTTCCAACAAAATCGGAGTATGAATTATAGCTTCCATAAAAGATTTCCGATTTTCTTATGCCGAAAGTCGTGCAAAAATGATTCTTATGCGTTTTTAATAAGTCTGAGAAAATGTATTTTAATACAATAGAAAACTCGAATCTTTAACTGAAATATTTTATTAAGAACTGACAATTCTCCATATATATATAATATATATACATATAATTCTTGATATACAATCGACGTCATTAACTATATATAGAATGCTTGAATTCATTCTCAATAACACGCATACTTCGATATAGTTTTCAGGCCAGCAGCTGACAAGTTTTAATTTGTGTGCTTGGACATTCTTATTATTGTATTCTTGTATTACATTCTGTGGAGATGGCGAGTTTGAAGGTACGTGTAAATTCACCGACGGTACGTTACTCGGAAGATTTCATCGAAGCGGAGTACGAATACCGGACAACTAGCGTAGCCGAGGCCGAGGGTGATGATGATGATACGTATACAGTGAGAATCCATACATTTCTTAACTCATTTATTCATCTACTAGTTTTATTTTAAATATGCATGTCATTGATGCTTGCTCCGACTGGTCAAGAACAATAAGTCTGTTTGTTTAGGCTAAAGTTTGCATGTTGAATGTTTTTCCGTTTTATTATTATTATTATTATTGCTGTTATGTTTTATGTTTGACGAATATAATGAATGTTCCACAAAGATTCGGTATATATTCTTTTACTAATTTGGAGTCAATTGTTTCTTAGCAAAAAAAATGTTGAAATAAACTATGAAAATATGTACTGTATATCGCTATAATTTTAATTATATAAACGATTAAAAAGGAAAACTTTTCGCGAAATAATTTTAAGAAGCCAAATTTATGACAGATTACACAATAATTAATATCAACTAATATAAAATATCAGAATCAGGAGTTTATTTTAATAGAATTTTTATTTGAGATATAAATTAAAGATATTAATTAAATTTACACTAAATTGTAAGATAGAAAAATAAAATTGGAGTTCTTTTTAAATTAAATAATTTATCTTATTATTATTTTTATTAAAGAAATTATTTATAAATTGGTAGATAATTTGCTGGAATTTACTGTTTTACTGTTGAATAAGTATTTTCTAGATTATTCCAGAATGAAGTCGACAAGGTCGATTATTGTCGATATGCGTATCGCACATGCGTTTTTTCATATACACACAATATATACACGCACACACACGCACACACACACATTGAAGTTGACCTTCACGTATATGGCTATTCAAGGTCAAATATATATGAAACCATACAACTTTTATGAAACATGTAAACTTTTGGATTTTGAGAAATTTTAGTGGAAAGATTAAAATGGCCTATATATATATATATATATATATTCATGTTGACATCATATATTTATTTTATGCAATCTGGATTTCAGAGATCATAATAATAATTATTATAGAAATATTTTCGTCAAAATTATCCATTATAATAATTAATAGTTATGTCGCAGAGTTTAAATTTTAATTACATATCACAAACACATGTTAACCATTTAGTTAACTCGCGCGTTACTTTTGTCTCGCGAGGCGCGATTACTTATTCGTTTCGGTACGAGTCGGGAATTAAATAACGTGAGGCAGTAATTGCAATTAACAAAATATATTCTTCAAGAAAACACAGTCTTTTAAAGTCGATACATAAGTGTTAATTCGCTCGGATTAATATATAATGTGCGTCCGTACGCGGCGACTGTCGAAAACGGAATCTCTCGCATGTAAAAATGTTCTACCCATCTTTCGCCTCAAAATCGTTCTTCGATAGGCTTCGAGAGGCTTCGCGAATGTTCTATTTGTTTACTTGTTTTGTTTTTTATCGTCTTGATATTTTTCTCTGTACTTCTCGTCTTTCGTCTCGTCTGTTATATTTTTATTTATGTTTATTTATGTTTCTGTACTTTTCGTATGTGTGAGTGTTCGTATTCGTATACGTGTTTTTGCTTGTTAATTTGGGGAAGTATGTGACGATCTAATCGCCACAACCGCTATATACTTTTATTAATTTTTTTCAATAATTATTTTGAAGAAACTTTAATTAATTAAATCGGCCATTAATTTAATGAGTTGAGATATAAATTAAAGAATTTTGTTTTCAACGAAACTTTGAATTTGACAATTTCATATCTTTGTTGATGTTGGAGATGTGAAAAGTATTTTTGTACATGTGTACATGTGTGCATTAATAACAAAAAAAATTGAGGATGTAAGATGAGGTGAAGGCCACTGAAGAGGTTCAATACGTTTAATTTATCGTTCATCAAATTGGGCATACGAACACGCGTGTAATTCTGACAAAATGTGTTATTGCTCCGTCTTGTTGATATTAAACTTATTGCTGCTGCGGTTATTAGGAATTTCATTATATTTGTTTTGATTCGTACTATTATGGAAAAATCGTACGAAAATGATTTGGTTTTTAGTAATTGATGTTACTTTTATATTTAGACGGGTAGGTGGATGTATGGATGTATATAAATTTAAATATTTATTATAAAAATTACAGAAAATTTTATATTCTCTGAATCTTTTATAGCAGTTTCTTGCTTTGTTCTATAAAATTAAATATAATGGATATATAAATTTTTTTCGCGCGCACGCGTGCGTGTGTGTGTGTGTGTGTGCGCGTGTGTGAGTAAAAATTTTAAAGTGTAATTGTGGAATTGCATGAAACTTTTTTTGCAGGTGTCACCCACATCCACGAAGTTGTTGATCAAGACCATGATAAAAGTTCCTAAATTGGGATTGATGTTAGCAGGCTGGGGTGGTAACAATGGCAGCACTATAACAGCAGCTTTAATTGCGAATAAGCTTAAATTAACATGGGAGACGAAGGAGGGTGAGAAAATCGCAAATTGGTACGCTTTAAAACATATTTATTTCTCCTTGATTAAATAGTGCAAATTTTATTTAAAATATTATATTTATCACGATTTAATTGATTTTGAAAATGTTATAGAAGCATATAATGTATATGTATGTGTGTATATTAAGATTTAAATATATTTATTTTGTGTATTTATTATATGTATATATGAAATTAATTTTTTTTAAAGATATTAAACGTCACAATAATATTAACTTTTTATATTACTGTTTTTTTATTAATATTAATATTAATATTATTAATATACATATATAATATACTTGCACATATACGTTTTATTATGCAATATGCTTGATTTAAGTCTAATTATACATATAATATTAAATAATATATGTATATTTTATGCGTTAAAATTTTGTTTTATTTTTTCATATAGAATTATTTCTGGATATATGCATATATATGCATATGCATATACATATGCATTATTAATAATATATGTATATCTCCTTACATATATTATTAATAACGAGTCATATTAATTTTATGAGGCTTACGAGTCTTTATATGTTATTGCATTTACTTTTAGCTTTAATTTTTATTGCATTTTTCCCTTTTTACATGTTAGCTTTATTTTTTTTTATTACTTTGCCTTTTAGGTACGGTTCTTTAACGCAAGCGTCCACTATAAGATTAGGCAGAAAAAGCAGAGGAGGGACATTTATGTTCCTATTTCTAGTATGCTGCCCATGGTAAATCCCGATAATATCGAGATTGATGGTTGGGACATTTCGAATGTAAATCTTGCTGACGCCATGACACGTGCTAAAGTGTTGGATGTAAATCTACAAGTACAGTTGCGGCCTTATATGACGCATATGCAGCCTAGAAAGAGCCTATATTACTCTGATTTTATTGCATCAAACCAGGTATTTAATCATAATTTTAGGATCCAATTTTCTATGCGATAGAGTCGTAGAAAAAAAGATATTATAACAATTATAAATTTTAATTATATTTGTTCGCGCGATCTAGATTTTTCAATTTTTTTTTTACATATGATAACTCTTTTCGTCTATTCCCTTGAAAATAGTAATTTTAATTTTTTAATGTAAAGCAATTATTTAATTAATAGTAAATTGCAAAATATTTTTCAGTTATGATTTCGCCATACTATAAGATTATCACATGCATCTTCAGTTTTCTTATGTAATAATTTTTCACTTTTTTAGAGAGCATTTGAACAAATTTATTTCGTATTTTTGCAAAATTGAACTGAATTCTTTTAAAAGATTTGGTATTAATAATCATTCTTATGCATGAATCATGCTAATGTTTTTTGTATTGTTTTAGTACATATATGGTTGAAATTAGACAAGTTGTACTTTCTTGCACTATAAAAATATTAATTTTTTAAAATTAGTTAGTTAAAAACATTATAATTTGTTCACATTATTAATGCTCTCGTATAATATGTAAAGAGTAAGAAAAATGCAATTTGCATATATATATATATATATATATGTATATATATAAATATAAATATAATATATAATCCGGTCTAATTATAATTAATGTGGGAATAAATTTATGAAATGTGTCGCAAAACTCTTTTTGATCAATTAACATTAATAATTAATTAGTATGTTTTAATAATATATTATTTAAATTAGATTCATATTTTTAACAGTTTTTAGCTGATTTCTGGCAAAAGGTTAATGGAGTTAAAATTTTATTAATTTTTTAAATATTATATAAATTTTTTAATATAAAATTAAGGAATGGCGCGCGCGTGCATGTGTATTCACTTTCTTTTGATAAAAGATAGACAAAAGATTATTATATACAAAAAAATTGAAGGTAATAATGCATTTTATGTCGGGATACATAGATTATATAATTAGATTTTATTAAATTTTTTATAATATAAGAAGGTAAAATATATTATTAGTTTTTCAAGACGGAAATTCATTATATGGCACATAAGAAAACTGAAGGTGACAACACGTTCCAACTGTGAGAAAGAGGTATCAATAATTTTAAATGTCTACAATATTTTATAAATATTATTATAAAAATAAAAAATTAATTAATTTAAAATTAATTTATTAATTTTAAATTAATAAATTAATTTGAAATAAATTAATGTAAAAAATTATTTTTTATTTTATATTAATATTTTAAAATTAAATTTTTACATAAACATACACACACACACACACACACCGAGTGTACGTGCGCACGTTCATGTGTACCTACATGTACATGCAATGTACGTATGTATACGTATGTGTATAATGTGCATGACGTGCGCATGTGTGTGCGTTGTGCAGATATGTGAAGAATGTTTTAGAAATTGACCAACACACATTTAAGAACATATATAACATTTTATTCATTATAAGGATGGAAAAGTCATATATAAATGTGTTTAAAAAATGCTTTTTTCGAGCTATAAATACTTTTTGTTTACGGCAAGTTTTTGACAAGAATACTCCTCAAAATAATGATTTCTTGGAAATGATTTTCTTTCATAGTAACACGTATTGACATCTGAAATGTCGAAAACATTCAAAAATGTATAGTACTTTTAATTTTGTGAAACGTAGCTACAATACATCTATTTCGTGAAATATTTCCACAGTAGCAACAAGGATATTGTAAATAAGAGCCTAGAGTTGTCCTCATAAATCAATATCCAGAAGATTTTAATCAGGAGACCACAGAAGCTGTAAAATTGTTTTTCTTTCTTCAATTCACCGATCAGCATTGTTGTGAAAATCATATATACTAGTAAAAGTATAAGTGTTTGTTTCAATTCGGAAGGAGAAAAAGTGTTTATTGATTCCATTAATTTAATGACTTTTTTTATTCTTATAATGAGGAGAATATAAAAGTTGATCACCTTCTGAAACACTGTCGTTATATATATTAAAGTGCCATATTTATTATATGTAGATATAACAATCTTTAATTTTCTTTAAGCATAATTATATTTAATTAATTTTTTTATTATAAAAATATAATTATTTATTGATGAAATTTTTGTTTACAAAGGGCGAAAGAGCAAATAACATCATCATGGGCACTAAGGCCGAGCAACTCAATAAATTCGTAACGATATCGTGGAATTTAAAACTACGAAGGGCCTGGATCAAGTAATTGTCTTGTGGACTGCTAATACTGAAAGATTTTCGGAAATTATAACGGGTGTTAATGATACGGCTGATAATCTTTTGAAGGCAATCAATGAAGATCATACAGAGATTAGTCCCAGCACCATGTTTGCTGTGGCGGCAGCTTTAGAACAAGTATTAACTTTAATCTTTTTAAATAATGAATATATGAACAGTATTTTGAAGATTATTATTAAATAAAACTATGTCACGATATAATAATATCAGAGTAATTACTATATAATAATTACAAATAAACAATTAAATTTCTTGAAAAGAATGTTATAAATAAAAGAAGCGATTATATTTGTTATTTAAAAATACTCTATATATATCTTTGTTAAATATAAATTAGTAAAAGAAAAAAATATATATATACATATACACATATTTATGATTTAACAATTGTTAAGTATATTTTGTGGAATACATTTATTTAATTTTATTTATTATTTTATTGAATATACAAGGTATTCATTTTAAGTAATATATCTTACATGAACTAAAATATTTTGTAAAATATTTATATTTTGATAATCTTATCTTATATTTCTATGCACAAAATAATGAAAAGAATTCAATAGATGTAAAGAAAACACATAGTTGTTTAAAAGAAAAAATATATACATATATATTAGCTGCTAGTTACAATTTAACGTACTTTCCTGAAAACAACAATGCATTTCTTTTCTATTTGATTTTTTTCATCATTTTATATATAAAAGTATTCAAATAAGATCATCGGAAAATGAATATTTAACGAGATATTTCATAGTTTATATGTAAAATCATGTTAAAGTGTAAAATGTCGTAAACTATTTACTTTTTGGCCATTTTATCCTTATAACATCTTATGCCGAATATTACAAGGAATCAATTTACATGGAAAAGAATAAGATAGTTTTGTTTTAGAAAACTGTGTTGGTGTGTGACCTCTAAATGTTGACGTTGCCACCCAAAAACAATTTTGAATTATGATATTATGTCGAAAACTCTATAACTTTTATATGGAATTTTTAAAAACATTTTATTTTTGAGAGAATTGACTGTATCATTTGAAATAAAACATTTCTGTGTATGTATATATGTATATATATATATTCGGCATAAGATGTTATAAGGATAAAATGGCCAAAAAGTAAATAGTTTACGACATTTTACACTTTAACATGATTTTACATATAAACTATGAAATATCGTTAAATATTCATTTTCCGATTATCTTATTTGAATACTTTTATATACAAAATGATGAGAGAAATCAAATAGAAAAGAAATGCATTGTTGTTTTCAGGAAAATAAGTTAAATATATATATATATATATATATATATATATATATTTTGTTGATTATATATTTATTATTTAGAAATTGCTTTCTTTACAATAAGAAAATACATATTTATTGTGTTCATAGAACTTAAAATCCATAATAATTATTAATAATTGAGAACTAAGAAAAAATTTTTGTGTACAATTCTCGCGTTTTTATAAATTGATTAATAATAAATACACAAATTTTTTCTTTATTTAAAATTTATAAGCAACCAAAGAACAGAAGTTTTTTTCATTTATGAAAACAATTTTTTCAGTGTACTTACATCAATGGATCACCACAAAATACTTTCGTGCCAGGTCTTCTTGAGCTAGCCGAAAGGCAGAAAACATTTATTAGTGGTGATGATTTTAAATCTGGCCAGACAAAATTAAAATCTGTTCTTGTAGACTTCCTCGTATCGGCTGGCATTAAACCAGTATCGATTGTTAGTTATAACCATTTAGGAAATAATGATGGATATAATTTATCCGCACCACAACAATTTCACTCAAAAGAGGTACGCAGTATTATTAAAGAAAATATGATATACATTTTATTTTCATGATATGTAATATTATGTTTCATTATTTAGGAGAGATGTAAAAATAGATGTAAACGGTTACTTTGTATTCAAGTGTTTATACTTTATTATTTTAAAGAAGAATTCAGAACTTGTATGACATATAATGAAAATAAAGTCAAATAAAAATTATTTGGTGGCATAAAACTAAGAGAAATTGACTGAGTAGATTTTGTTTAATATTTGTTATAAATTTTGGCTCGTATATCATCAATCTGTGCCAACAAAAACTAATTTTATATAATACAATTGTAAATATTAATTTAATATAATATAAATTTGTAATATTAATCTGTAAAAATTTTAGTTTAAATCTGCTTAGTAAATTATAACAGCATGTTGTTTACATTTTGTTCTGTTGGATAATATATATTTATTTTATTTGTATATATTTTATTGTTTCATTATTACAATTGTATAAGATGTGCGTGTATAATGAAAAAGTGATTATTGTCGGAAACTCTATGTTTATATTACATATATTCTTCAGTATCCATTATTTTCATATATGTATAATTAATGTACAGATCTCCAAGAGCAATGTTATAGATGATATAGTGGAATCGAACAAGATCCTTTAAAACCTGGAGAAAAAACGGGATCATTGTGTCGTTATTAAATATGTTCCCTATGTCGGTAAGTTTTAAAACAAATAATCGGTCTCTCTCTTTCCCCCTCTCTCTCCCCCCCCCTCTCTCTTCTTTTTAATCATAATTTCATTATTGAGGAAAAAATCTATAATTATGAAATAAGATAATATTCGAATATTTTCCTATTTTGAATAAAAGCAGAATTTGACTATACAGTAAAAAGTTTGAATTTGGTGTAATATTTATTATATAAAGTCCAATAAATAATATCAATATTGATTGGTGGCTAGATTACTCTGTAATTAAATATTTTAAAATTTTAAAAGCTTATGAAAAAGAACAAGAATGCAAAAGCAGGAAAATAACATTATACTTTAAAAAATTATTTTTTATAGTATCAGAGATAGATCATAGTACTTCAGTTTAATAGTTGATATACGAAATTTGATACAAGTACTATTTATCTAAAAAATGAGATTTTATTACAAAGTTTTTACGATTCTTAGCTTTAAGGTTCTTGAAACTTTTAAAATTTTAATGACAATAAACGGGCAGTGAGGAGTAATGCGCGGTAATTAGTACGTAACAAATTATTTTTAATATAACGTATTATATATAATAAATCTTTGAATGTTTCGGCATCTCTCTATGGGTTTTCCTCAGCAAAATTAAAAAATCGTCAATATACATATTTATTTTGCAATGTCGTCACATAATTAAATTACATCATAAGTTGTACAATCTCATTATGTAAAAATTAGATGTATATAGATTGTCATTACATATATTGCATTAAACGGATTTGGCAGTTTCTCCGTTGGTAGGCTGAGAAACGATACAATACGTTGGAATTTGAAAGAATACCTAAAGAAGACGTTGAATCGTTGAAAGATTTGTTATTTGTTATGTAATAAATAATTTATTGCGCACTTATTACCGCGTGTTGCTCCTCACTGTCTTTTTATTGTTTTAATAATTTAAAATTTGGGGGAGCGATTAGTTAAAAAAAAATTTGTTTAATATTTAAAAATTCCTTGTAATTTGAAAATAAAGTTTTTATAATTCTTAGATATTTGTAAATATTTATTTTTTTAAATATTTTGATGTAGAATTTCTAAAATTTTTTTTTTTTTCTTAAAAATATTTTTTAAAAGTTTATAATTGTGTATGTGTTAAATTAAAAAAAAATTAATTACATTGTTTTTGTAGGCGATAGTAAAAGAGCCATGGACGAATACACTTCTGAAATCATGCTGAATGGTCATAATACTATTGTGATTCATAACACATGTGAGGATTCACTTTTGGCGGCTCCTATCATTCTCGATCTTGTAATATTGGCCGAGATCTGTTCTCGTATTACTTTCAAGAGAATGGATTCCGAGGAGGATGAAGAATTTTCCGGTTTTCATAGCGTACTCTCCATTCTATCATATCTCTGCAAGGCTCCTTTAGTGCCGCAAGGAACGCCAGTAGTAAATTCCCTCTTTCGACAGCGAAGTGCTATTGAAAACATTTTGCGAGCCTGTTTGTCTCTACCACCAGAGAATGACATGTTACTGGAGCACAAAGTCACTTTTAAGATTTAAGGAAAACATAATGAAATAAGAGATGAGAAAAAATGTAACGAATGAAACTAATATAAGGCCGAAAAGTGATATAAGGATTTTGTTTATTATTACAAAAAAATGTTTTTTAGTTTGGTTTTTTACTACTAAGCAATAATATTATTTAGAAAGTAAGATTACGATTTTAAATGATAAGAAAATAGCGTAATTTGGAAGGCTGACTTTTGAATCCATGGAAAAATTAGTTTTATATAAACTTAATTTAATATACAGGGTGTCCCATAATTCGCGAACCACCGCGAATGGGCAGATAGAGCGTGTTAAACTGAATGGAAAAGTCCTGTATCATTTTGCGATATTCGCAATAATTATTGAGTTATTTATTAAAATATCTAAACGAATAAGCAAGTAGAAAGCATTATTTGATCGAGAGGCGGTGTCATGCAGCGAGCGGCGACCAATGTAGTGGCGCTGAAAAGTAAGGTGATACTTTTGATACTAAGCGGCATATAACAAATAAGTCATCCGACATGCACACCGAGTTCGGCCTATCGCTTTCTACCCGCTCATTCGTTTAGATATTTTAGTTAATAACTCAATAATTATTGCGAATATCGCAAAATGATGCAGGACTTTTCTATTCAGTTTAAGACGCTCTATCTGCCCATTCGCGGTGGTTCGCGAATTATGGGACACCCTGTATATGCGATATATTAGTTAAATATATGGCAATATATTAAATATATGTGCAATATATTAAAAAAGTATTAGTTGTTAAATAAGATTATCATAATTTAATATTATTATTATAATATTGTAATGAAATAATTTATATAGTATTTTCACACACATTTTATACTAGTCAATAACATATTGTATTAATTGATTACTGTTAACAGTAATCAATTAAACAATAATTATAACGTTATAATTATTGTAGTATAATTATTTTTTATTCGTTGTTATTAATACATATTACAATACAATAAAGAGATATCGTTATTTATTTTTAAAATTGCCTTTTTTTATTTCTCGCATTATTGTCTCATTATTTTAATGTATTATACATAAGTATATTTAATATGATTGTAATTTTCTATTCATTTTTCTTTTTACACAAAGTCAATAATTAGAGTAGACTGTAAAGTATTATAGGATCTCACAAGAAAAAGTTGGGAAAGAATAATTGTATTCTATAAATAAATAATACTGAATCGTGATAGTAAAATTATTGTTATTAGTGCCAAATTGTCAATTAAAGTTGCTATATGTTGTAATGACAATTTTTGAAAAATACAAATATAATAACATTTTTATTTTTAAATGTTTTTATTTTTTTAAAGAATTTAATTCGCTAATTGCGAGATAATTAATTTTTACATTATTTTAGAATTCAAATTTACATATGTTAACTTGACGTTAGGTCACATGTTTTCTATTATTTGTATTATTAAGAAGGAATTTTTTTTTTTTTTTATAGTCAGGAAATTTGCTAAACCAACTTCGCCGTCCTGACCCCTGAGGGAGGGTCAGGAGGCTTTGTGGTGGATTCCCGCCGTAGTATCCCGAGGGACTATCGGACGGGGGACCGACCTAAAACTGACTGAAGCCCCTGGTCGTATGGGTGTTGGTCCACCGCGGAACCGCTAACGCATAACTTCACGGTGGACACCCGACCGGTGTCCTGAAGGTAGGACACATCCCCCGGGAGGATACTACAGGTATCCCCCCGGAGAGAACATCCTTGCCCGAAAGGGCATC